GGGGGGGGGGGGGCAGAAAGAGATAAATCAAAGAAGTTATATGCATAATCAATGTACACAGTATGGTAAAGGCGAGGGGAGCAGGGAGGAGGGTGTCAAAGGCGGAAAAAGGAGGGACATCTGTAATAAAAAAAAAATTAATAAAATAAGTATTACAAAAATTAAAAAAACTAAAACCGTTGCAACAAATTGGCATAATTTGTGAGTCAGATGGAGTTAAGAGAGGTTCTTAGGGTTAAACCAGGAATCAAAAAATGACCACAGGTGACCACAAGTATGTAAGAAAAATAATTCCACAGCCTTGTGACTTGAAAAAACAGGGAACGCCTACGTTTAAAGGACCCGGCTCATGCTCACTATCTCCATCTAGTGGTAGGTCCTTGAGTGAGGTTTGGTGAGCTCATATGGGATCTGCTAGACTTTCAGCTCAGTTATTTGCCTCCTGGTCACTTTGATTTGGGAAAATATTTTTCACTCATGAAAATGACTTTTTAAATGTACTTAATCAGTGTGCAAGTTCCTTTGAATTTCCCTGAAAGAGTAATCACAAGTTTTAAAATGTAAATTGTATATTATGTTATCATTAAGGTGCAGCCGTCACCGGATGGGGTCTGGGCCCAGAGCGGGTCTTCCTCGGGCCAGCCTGTAGTGTGTGGGTTCTTGGTGCAGGAAAGACTGCACAACACAAGTGATTCTGAGAGTATGTTTATTAAAGCTGGGGACAGTGACACAAAGGAAGGGCTGAGGGTAGAAGGAGCAACAGGAGAGAGCCCAGGCGGGGCTGCTTTGACTCTCTAAGAAATAGACGTCACAGTAAAATAAATGAGCTCACTGGGAAGTCAGAGAAAAAGGGGGCCTTGGAGACAGGCTCAGGGGTACGCCTGGGATGAGCTGCTGCTGCCCACTGGTTGCAAGTCTCCTGGGGTCTCTGAGAGTTTAGGAGAAAAACAGCAGAGAAACAATGTGCCCTCGCAAGAGCTCTCCATGGGTCCTTTGTTGTGAGGTTTTTTAATCTTCCTTTGGCTGGCTGGAGTCCTTGGGGAAGTCTCAGGGGGGGTCTTAACAGGTGTGTCCTTCAACATGTTAATGAATCAAAATGTGCGATAGAGTCCTGGTCGGTGTGGCTCAGTGGATTGGAGCAACATCCTGTACAATAAAAGGTGGTGGATTCAATTCTCAGTCAGGTTACATACTCAGGTTGTGGGTTCAACTCCTGGTCGGGGTGCTTGTGGGAGGCAACCAATCAATGTTTCTCTCCCCCCCCTTCCTCTCTCTCCAATAAAAATGTTTAAATGTGCATATAAAGGGGTCAGGGTTTATTTTCTAGTTAGTTTCATTTTTAAATATATTTAAAATTGATTTTAGAGAGAGTGGAAGGGAGGGGGAGAGAGAGAAACATTGATGAGAGAGAAACATCAACATCGATCACATCCCCTACTAGGGAACAAGCCCACAACCCGGGCATGTGCCCTGACTAGGAATCGAACCAACTACCTCCTGGTGCATGGGTCGATGCTCAACCCCTGAGCCACATTGGCTTGGCTAGTTTCATTTTTAAAGGATGTCATTGAAGAGGGACCACGACCTAGGACATTCTGTCCCAGGATGTTCTGAAAAGGGAAAACATTTGCTTCTAAGTGTCCTGGGTTCAGGGAAGATAAAACTTTGTGATTCACTAGCTGACTGTAAATTGTTCATATTGTTTGGCACTGTTTATTTGGTTTCAGTTTCCCTTATTCTACCTGTCAAGGAATTCCCCAGCTTCTTACTACCCTGCCTCACATCTGCCGACTGAAATCCGAGTTTCACTTCCTGACCCACTAAAACATCAAAAATGGCTTCCTGCCCTGGCCGGTTGCTAAGTGGTTAGAGCGTTGGCCCGAGGACCAGAGAGTGCCAGGTTCAGTTCCCACTAGGGGCACGTACCTCGGTTGCAGTTTGTCTCTGGCCCCGGTTGAGGTCGTGGGGGTGGCAACCACTCGGAGTGTCTCTCTCACATCGATGTTTCTCTCTCTCTCTCCCTCCTTCTCTCCCTCCCACTCTATCTGAAGATAAATGCAAAAATGTCCTCAGGTGAGGAAAAAAAAATTAAATAAATAAAAATAAAAATGGTTTCCTGATTGCTTATCTTTTTTGAAGACAAATAATAGGATTTATAGGTTTATTCTCAATTTTTTGGCTTGGTATAAGTCATCCTAACTTTGTTCTTTTTGCTCACAAAGCACCTTATTAGTGAGTCACACAGACAGAAACTTGGCTTCTCAAATAGTCAGATTGAGTGCATATCGCCAGGTCTTGGGAGAGGATTTGTGTGTGTCTGTGTGTGTGTGAGTCTGTGTGTGTGTGTGTCTGTGTGTGAGAGTCTGTGTGTGTGTCTGTGTGTGAGTCTGTGTGTGTGTCTGTGTGTGTGTCTGTGTGTGAGTCTGTGTGTGTGTCTGTGTGTGAGTCTGTGTGTGTCTGTGTGTCTGTGTGTGTGTCTGTGTGTGAGAGTCTGTGTGTGTGTGTCTGTGTGTGTCTGTGTGTGAGTCTGTGTGTGTCTGTGTGTCTGTGTGTGTGTCTGTGTGTGTGTGTCTGTGTGTGAGTCTGTGTGTGTGTGGGCATGTCTGTGTGTGAGTCTGTGTGTGTGTCTGTGTGTGTGTCTGTGTGTGAGTCTGTGTGTGTGTCTGTGTGTGTGTCTGTGTGTGAGTCTGTGTGTGTGTCTGTGTGTGTGTCTGTGTGTGAGTCTGTGTGTGTGTCTGTGTGTGTATGAGTCTGCCAGGACTGCCATTATAAAGGACCACACATTGGGTGACTTAAACAGCAGAAAGTTATTATCTCACAATTCTGGAAGCCAGAAGTATGAGATGAAGGTGCAGTAGGGTTGGTTCTTCTCTTCTTGGCCTGTTGATGGTGGAGTTCCCCCATGTCCTCCCTCAATGAGGACACCAGTCATATTGGTTTGGGACCCATCTGGACGACCTCGTGTTATCTTAATTGCCCCCTTTAAGTCCATCATTCCAAATACAGTTGCATTCTGAGATACTGGGGGTTAGGCTTCAACATGTGAATTTTTCTTTTTAAGTAACTCACAGACTCTGGTAAAACACAGGTGAGTATACAATGTGGTTGTCCCTACTCCCTTCCAAACCTCCATTAAAATGACCGTGAAAGGCTACAAAGCTCTAAATTTGCAAGGAGAAAGCTGATGGGAGAGGAGACCACAGAGAATGAGACACAGGACATGTTTTACAAGATGGTGTGGAAGGCAGGGCGGTAACTGGGCAGCGTTCCTACGTGGCGGGTGATATGTGGGAGCTTCAGACTCATCCTCTGAACCAGGAGGAGGCTCTGGACCAGACGGCGCCAGATGCACGGGGACAGGGGTGAGGCTGGGGACGTCGGAGGAGTGTCCCCACCCTCCACCACTGCTGGAGAGCAGCGACAGGCTTCCCCTGTGGAAGGGCAGTGGCTGAGGGCGATGCCCAAATGAAAGCAGGAGGGGAAAGTCAAGGTCCCCAGGCTAATATCAATCTCAGCCTCTGACTCCACTTGGCACCCAGAACACAAACAGCCACTTTCGGAACACTTCCTCATTTCCTCCTCATGACAACCCCTCGGGTAGGGTTTCCGATCCCACCCTGCAGAGAAGGATGCAGGGGTCCCAAGGGTTGGAAGTTTGATGAGATCCTCTGTGTCTGGTCGTTAGGACAGGGCCTAGAAGCAGAGACAGGGTCCCCCTGGTTACTGGTAGGCAAAGTCCCAGCTGGCCACTGTTTTTCTGACTCCCCACTGGCTCTGTGAATCCCACCACAGCATCCGGCCAGGCTCCCAACACCCCACAAAAGACTCAATTGTCATCAAGGATGGGACACGCAGGACCAAGGCTGAACTTGGTGGCAGAGGTTGTCAGATGCCAGAGTCATTTCAAAGAGATTCCTTCCTTCTTTGTGGCTGTAGGGCACTGAGGGGCGGGGGAGGGATCGAAGTCCTCCTCGGTCTCATCTGATTTGAGGACGGCTGTACTTCTGGGAAGAATGTCCTGAAATGAGTGTCTCAGGACTGGTCACGCCAAGGGGCCTAAGAAAAGGGCAGCCCTACCTGGAGGTGGGGGCAGGGCAGTCCCACATCCCCAGGAGAGGAGGGAGAAGAGTCCAGGCCAAGATCCAGGATCCGGCAGCTTGGGCTCCTTCTCCGCAGGCGAGGGGAAGGTGGCCTCGCCTCACTTGTTTCCACTTATTTGCTTCTTCTTTTTTAACTTTATCTTTATTGTTAAAAGTATTACAGATGTCCCCCCTCCTCCCCCATTGATCCCCCCACTCCTGCCCCCCCCCACTACACTATTGTCTGTGTTCATGGGTTATGCATATGTGCATATAAAGTCTGTGGTTAATCTCTCCCTGCCCCCTCCTCTCTGACTCATCAGTCTATTCCCTACTCCCATGTCGTCAGCTTATTTTGTTCATTAGATTCCACAACTAAGTGAGATCATGTGATACTTGTCTTTCTCTGCCTGGTTTATTTCATTTAGCAGAATACTCTCCAGGTCCCTCCATGTCGTCTCAAAGGATAAGAGATCTTTCTTTCTTACAGCTGCGTAGTACTCCATTGTGTATATGTACCACAGATTTTTTATCCACTCGTCTACTGATGGACACTTGGGCTGTCTGCAGATCTTAGCTATTGTAAATAGTGCTGCTACAACACAGGGGTGCAGATATTCTTCCTGATGGGTGTTTCAGGCTTCTTAGGGTATATTCCTGGAAGTACTTCACCCCAGGCTCCCTGGACACCCTGTTTCCCCGCCCTGGCTGGGTGAGTGGCAGGGTCAGGGTCAGGGTCAGGGTCAGGCGGCAGGACCAGGGGCAGGCGGTTCTGAAAGGAAAGGCTCCGGAGGGCGTCCGCCCAGGAGGCGGGTCCGAGCGGGGTGGGCGGGGCTTCGGGCGGCGCTGGGGCCTGGAGGGAGCCAGGAGGTGGGAGGGGGAGGAGAAGGGCCCACCCAGGAGGGAGGGCGGAGCGGGCCAGGGGGGCCAGGAAGAAGCTGACAGCTGGCAAAGTCGCTTGGAGAAGACAGAAGAGACCCCAGGGCACCCGGAGAGGACGTGAGAAGGGAAAGCGGGCGGGGGGCCGCTGGCCGAGTGGGGGAGGGGGGAGGCAGAGGGAGCCGCTCCAAGGGCCCCAGATTGTCACCTTGTCCGGAGCCCTTGCTTTGAGGCAGCCCCCCGGGCTGGGAGGGCGGTGGTGTGCAGGGCCCAGGAAGAAAGGAGAGGGAGAGAGGGTCTGCTTGAGGAAGATGGCCGAGGGTGGGCCCAGGCGAGACCCCCTTTCTGGTTTAGGGGTTGGGCCCACAAAAACAGGCAGCCCCAGTGCAGGGAGGGTTAACCTTCTGGTTCCCACCCTGCTCTGGCCTCTCCAAGCATTGACATCCTTCCAGAAATATTCAGTTTCCTTTCTATGTCCAGTCTTTCCCCTGCAGTTATACTTGGGGGGCTGGGGGGCAGAGGCTGGGACCTGAGAGCCAGGAGCCCAGGGCAGGGAGGGGCAGCAAGAGGGGCTCAAGGGGCAATTGGGGCATTGGGGACAGAGAAGGCGGCAGAAAAGGTGGGAGGGAGGGAGGGGCCACAGGAGGGCTTCCCAGGCTGTTGGCCAAGGACAAACACAGACTCAGTATCTACCCAGGACAGGGCCAAACCCAGGCCGAGCTGGACCCAGGGAACCGTGGGAGGCAGAGTGGGGAAGAGTGGAGGACCGGGGAATACCAGGGGAATTTTGGCAAAGGGTCACATCCTGTGCCTCCACCTTTGCCCAGAGCTGTGCTAGGCATGCCTCCGACATGCCCCCCCACCTCCCCCACCCTCCACCCTCCCCACCCCGCGCAGGGCCAGGGGTTGGTGGCTCCACGGGCTGTTATGAAGAGCTGAGGATCACACACACCCCTTGCAGGACCAGGGTGACAGGTGAAGTCATGTGGCCAATGCTGATCCTGTTGGCCCTGTGGCTGGGCACAGTGGGCTTGGGCAGGGCCGAGCTCACAGCAGCCCAGCACCAGGGCCTGCAGGTGGCCCTGGAGGAATTCCACAAGCACCCGCGTGTACAGTGGGCCTTCCAGAAGACCAGCATGGCCCGTGCCACGGACACGGTTAGCAGCACAACCTGCGGAGGGTGGGGGGGACCTGGGAGCCAGTATGCCCCAAGAGACTCCAGGGAGACCCAGGAAGCAAGCGCAAAAGTGCTTGAGTTCTGTGAACACCCAGCTCTCTGGGGAAAGACCACCACCCCAGCCACCAGCTTGGATGTGTTGGTTCACCGTGGGAAGGAGGGACAGGTCACCTCCAAGATTGCTCTGCCCGCTCAACTGGCTGCTGGTCGTCCTCTGTCCGTCTGTCTGTCTGTTGGCAGCCCTCCGAGGTGGGGACCTTTGTGAGGCTGGAGTTTACGCTCCAGCAGACAGGCTGCTGGAAGAAGGACTGGAAGCGAGCGGAGTGCAAGGTCAAGCCCGGCGGGGTGAGTGGACATAGGCTCACATGTGTGATGGGCACTGGCTCGGGTCGGGTGTGTGTCATCGGGTGCAGCTGGAGACCCAGCAAGGAGCCCTGAGGTTGGACGATCCCTGTGGAGCCTGTGGTTGTGACAGTGTGGGTGGCCTGGGCCTGAACAGGCGGGAGGGAGAAGTGGGCTACCGGGACGAAGGACACTTCATCCGAGTTCCTTCCCCAGGCTTCAGATCACTGGCAGAAGCTCATGGCGTGGGGCTGGCCTGGCCCCCCCCCCCTGGTGAATTCCGTTTTCTGTGGGTCTCCCAGGGGGACGTGGCCCAGCCTAGTCTGATCCATACAGGGCTTGACTGTAACCAGCCACCTGGGGGGCAGAGCCTGCTGCGGGGGAAGATCCCTGGGCTGGAAACGCAGCCACCTGGGTTCCAGACCCAGCCCTGCGGCTTTGTGGGTCCTCTGGAGGTCTCAGTTCTCACGTCTGTTAAAGGAGGGACCGGGTTATACCAGTGGTTTTCCGGACTTCTGTGCCAGAATCCTTATGTTCAAATCACATCTTATAAGAAAATGCAAATACATATAATAGATGGATGAGACTGGATCTGGTGGGGGTCGGGTGGGGAACCCACTTGGGGAGGATTCCTGCACGCGTGTGCACACGTGCACGTGCACACACACACACACACACAAGTTCCATAGCTGTGAAAACTGCAGGACAGTTTGACCTGAAATTTCCCAATCCGAGGGCGGGCTGCGCCTGAAACCAGCTGCCTGCATGACCCTCGTCCCTTTGCTCTGGGCCTGCAGGGGAAGGACCCCATTGCAGGCAGCTCCCAGCCTCCACCTCATGAGGCCACAGGCCTCCCCTCACCCCTTTCCTCTCCTGGCCCCTCCCTTCTCCCCAGAGGAAGCGGAAATGCCTGGCCTGCATCATGCTGGGCCGTGAGTCTCAAGTCCTGGGCCGGATGGTCCACTGCCCCATAGAGACACAGGTTCAACAGGTAAGAGTGGGCAGAGGAAGCAGAGAGGTTGGGGAGGCGGCTGAACAGAAGCTGGGCCTGTAGGGGAAGTTGAGAGGCAGAAGCCTGGATGGAGAGAGGAAGGACAGGGAGTGGAAAGGGGTGAGGAGGGTGAGGAGGGTGAGGATGAGGGGTGAGGATGAGGAGGGGTGAGGAGGCTGAGGAGGAGGGGTGAGGATGAGGAGGGTGAGGATGAGGAGGGTGAGGGTGAGGAGGAGGAGGGGTGAGGAGGGTGAGGATGAGGAGGGGTGAGGATGAGGAGGGCTGAGAAGGATGAGGAGGGGTGAGCATGAGAAGGATGAGGAGAGGTGACGTGGGGAAGAAGGGGTGAAGCAGTATTCCCCAGGGGCTGTGGAGGACAGGGCAGAAGCAGGGACAGCCCTCCCAGGCACCAATCCGGGCCTGAGCCACGCTGCTCTGGCAGGAGCCCAAGGAGCAGCAGGAGGCCCGGTGTATCAGGGTGCAGCAGGCCCACGAGGGGTCCCACAGATACTACTTCCCAGGACAATTTGCTTTTCTCCAACACCCTGGCTCCGGCTGAGAGCGTAACAGGTAGGTGGCCAGGAGGGCCAGAGGACAGTGGAGCAGGGACAGCGCTGGGTGGCGGCTGGGTGGGAGAGAGCTGGTGTAGGGGAGGAACTCCTAAAGCTGGGACTGGGACCAAAACAGCCTCCCTCACACCCAAATGTTTCTTGTTCCTTTGCTCTAGAATGGAGTCCTGCTCTCAGACAGCTGTGGGAGGTAACCAGTGAGTCCGCCGTCCCTTCCCCCCGCCCTGGGGAAGCCCACCGGACCCGACCCTACCCGGACCCAACCCTACCCGAGCTAATAAAACTGCTCTGGGAGCTGTTCTCTCCTGTCCTTGCTGTGCTCTCCTCCCCTCGCGGACGGGCAGGGCCTTGGGTGAGGAAAGGCTGGGAGGCTTTCAGGAGGACGCAAAGCCCCAGGGGGCAGGGCACCCTGAACCGGGGCTGGGGTCCAGTGCCCTCCTTCCCACGGGAGCCCCGAGGTGGGAGTTCACGTCCACACGAAATGACAGGCAGTGGTGCAAATTCAACCAGAAATGTTTAATGGGGCCTGGCATGGGCGAGGACGGGCAGTGAAGGCTCCAGGAGACCCAGGGCTCGGGCAAGGCATCCGTGCTGTGCCTGTGACGCCCACGCCCACCGGGAAGGCGGCGCTCCAGCCCTTCCTTTGCCACCTTTAACCACAGGGAGAGCAGCTTTCTTCCTTCCGAGGCCGGAGCGGCCAGGAGTGCAGATGAGGCACAGGGCAGAGGTGCAGGACAGCCTCACACGTGTCGGCTGCTAACGAAGGGCAACACCTGCTCGGGCACCGGGAGGTGTTCCCCTGAAGAACGCAGAGTGGAATTTTCTGGAGGTAGGAGTGGGAGGGAGGGATCTGCCCTTAGAAACAGGGATAAACGAAGAGCCCAGTGCAGGGACAGTGACCACCATGATGAAACCATGAAGACAAGTGCAGAGGCAGGAGGGGAGATGTGAGCAGCGAGGCGACACTGTGCTGACACCATGCCATGTGCCAGGCTGTCCGTCCCATGCCACGGGGCACATTCAGAAGACAAACGATGAGGTGGCGCCCGCAGGGCTGAGTGCCTGCTCGGCCTGGGCCAGGGTGTCGCCGGCCTGGCGGTCCAGGTCTCGGCACTCCTGCAGGGTGTCCTGGAACTGCCGGCAGGCCTCCTCCAGGATGGAGCTGCTCCGGGGTGGCCAGGCCTCCCAGTACCCTGGCTCCACCCAGGGCTGGGCCTCGGTGGTGCTAGGGCCTGGGCTGGAGCTGGGCTGCAAGAAGCAATCCAGGTCCCGGCACAGCTGGTAGAATTCACTGCCTCGCCCAGTCACACGCTCACCATCGATGACCTTCAGGCCAGGCAGCAGCTCTCGGACCGCTGCCCAGTAGGAGGGGCTGGCACAGAGTGGGTTGCTGAGCCTGGCCAGAGGGTCCCGGAGCCGCAGGTACTCCAGGCCCCGGAGCCCGGCCAGACACTGCAGCTGGCTAGACGTGGCCAGCAGGTTGCCTGCGGCATTGAGACTCTGTAGGTTCTCACAGGCGGCCAGTGGCTCCAGCCCCGTCAGCCGATTGTTGGCGACATTGAGGACAGCCAGCTGGCGCAAGGAGGCCAGGGGGCCTAGCTGGGTGAGCGCGTTGCCCGACAGGTCCAGCCACTCGAGGCCCAGGCACTCGCCCAAGCAGCCCAGGTCCCCCAGCCCCAAGCCTCGCAGCCGCAGCAGCAAGATGGACTCCAGGGCAAACTCGCCAGAGCGCGACTTGAGCAGCTGGGGTGTGACACGCACCCCTTCCGCCTCTCCTGGCTTCTCCCCGTGAGGCTCCATAAGATGAAGTCGGTCCAGGTGGCCTGGGCCTTGACAGTCTGTACAGGGACACGGGCACCACTAGGGGTCAGTGTGGCTGTTCACCCCCAAAAAGGTACCATTAACTCTGGGCCAGCAGTCCCTAAGGAGAGACAGTTAACAGTAAGCAGGCCTCTCAGCACTTCTGTGACACCACCGAGTGCCACCCAGCCTCCACCACCAGGGCCAGAAACCCAGGAGGCCCACCAAGACCCCCGAGGACCCAAGTCCAAGAGGCAGGACACCAAAGGCCCCTGCGAGGGAGGTGGGTCGGGCCCAGACTCTTCTAAGGGGACCTGACTCAGCTCGTGTGCCACACTGGACGGCATTCAGGCCCAGCGGTACCAATTCTCTCCATTCTCCGTATCTGCACTGGGGGGGACCTCAGAATTTTATCTTTTCCACAACCACTTACGACCTCTCATTAGTTCTGAGGTGTTTCTTTTTACCCACTTAAATATATTCTTGAGTAGACAATAGGTCACCACCATCAGCCGCCTCCCTTGTGCCCTCCCGGGAAAGCCTTGCACACGTAAACATGAACAGGAGCACTGGGCCTGGCTTCATTCACTCAAGGTTCTTGATGCACTTTTCTTAATGTAAATTCAGAATGGTTTCTAGATTGGGTGGGCCAGTTTGTAACCTCTGGTCCTTCAGAGGGTCAGCCTTCAGCCCTAGATGAAGAAACTGAGGTCAAAGGAAGGAGGGGGCAGTGGAGCCTGGGATCCGAGGCAGCACTGCCAGACCCCCTGCACCCCGACGCACACACCACTGCTCTCCAAACACCCACCCGTCCACACGAGCTCTCAGCACTCTGGTGCCAACAGAACGGCGTCAGTCACTGCTCCAGCTGCAAACAGGGCATCGTTGCCAGACAGCAGGAGCTGGAGAGGCAGGTGCCACCAGAGTTGGCTCCAGAAAGGCAGGGGAGGGGCCTATCAAGTCACCAGGGGCTGAGGGAGGAGGCCTGGGGGAGGGTTGCTGCTGCCCACAGAGAGGTCAAAGTTTCAGCAGAGAGGAAAACAAGAAGGGACCTCTGCTCCAAATGGCAGCTCCCAACTCTGCAGACTTTGGTCTGGCCCAGGCTGGGTGGGGTAACAACTGCAAAGAACTATGGGACCATTTGCTCTTGCTGACAAAACACAGAACTTGAGTGTCAGCAGTCCCGTCTGCGTTTCCATAATCCAGGCCACTTCGTATTCCCCTTCTCCAAGGAAACCAGGCCGAGCTCCTCCATGCTGCTCGCCAGGCAGCTGGGGAGGCTGCTAAGCAACCTTACCTCCCAGCCCCAATTTGAGAAGGGGGTCCCCACTCCTCCAGCTAGCTCCCTTCTGTTCTGCAACACTCCAGCAGGTTCTCATTTCAACCACATTCCTTCCAGAAGGGACTGGAGGCATCAACTAAGAAGTCTGATTTACTCCATGGGAACGGGACCTGCTGGGGTTTGTCAGCAGGGAGTGGGGCTGTCCCCTGTGCCCAATTAAAACTGCTCTGGCCCAGAGGGTGGGTGCTCAAGGGGCACTAGACACCTGCCATAACCCACTAGTGAGACAAGGACCCCACCGAGGGCAGTAAGAGACAGAGGAGGGACGAGGGTCTAACATGCAAGATCTGGCCATGTGGCTGGATGTAGGGGCTCCCTTCTCAAACGTTTGGGACACAGATGGGACAGGGTAGGGGGCAAGACCTCCAGTTTGAGGTGACCATGTGGCATCAGGTTCGGGAGAGAGTTCACACTCTAGGCTGAAGGGACCCAGGCACGACCTGCAGGGTGCAAAGCGGGGCAGGCTTTTTGGGGACAGACCTCTCACCATCTGTGAGCCTTTCTGCTGGAGCCTGCATCCTCCCCAGACACGCACGGTTTGAGTGAAAGGGTTTCCATTTAAGTGGTTACAGTGGAGAGGTCAAGGCACGAGGCTGAATGAGGAAACAGCTGCGCTGCCAGAGGGAGAAGTCATGGAGAGAACGATCATTTCAAGGTGAGAGCGATCGACACTGTACTCAGAGGGCCCCCTGGACTCGGCATTCTCAGGCGGAGGTGAGCCACAGCAGCCCACGAGGGTGAGGGCACGATGCCCAGAGGACTGGGTGACTGTTTAGATGGGCATGGTGGCTGTGAAGGGTGGGAAAGATTGAGGGGAGCGGGCACAGCAAGGGAGAGAGGCGGAGAGAACTGTGTGTGCTCCCACCTTAAAGCTGGGAGGAACGCTTTTCGCAGAAGAGGAAACAGTGGAGCAGAAAGATCACGAAGCTGGAAATGAGGTCTTCCAAGCCCTCCAGCGGCCTCAGGTCTTGCGCCCTCCCCTGCAGTTACACGAACGGAAGTGCCACAGTCTCGGGCAGAACGCCGATCCTCCTGGGCAACGAGTCTGCTCTTCTCACGGCCCCATCTTCCCACGAACCTGCACACCTCAGCCAGGCGGGTCTGGGCAGGACTGCACGTCCTGTGTCCACCTATCCGGCAAACCCACCTACTGCAATGCACAGGCCGGCCGCAGGCTCTACACAATAGGAGTGACTCGTCCACACCCACGTCAACTTTTCTCTAAAAAACGAGAGTCATCCTGGTCCTGTTTTGCAAATGAGCCAACAGAGGCTCTTGGCCCAACATATGAGTTTGCACCAAGGACTTGGTTACATGAATGACAGTGACTAAAACACAATTGACACCTGGGTCTCGGGAAGGCCTATCTGCCCTGTGCAATGGCCTTTGCTGAGTGTCAGTTTACCTAGGTAGGAAATGGGCCAGAAAATGCCACCCAGGAGTCAGCTAGGGTGGAGCTAAGTCTAGGGGAGAAATGGTTCGGCCCAGAGCGGCCTCAGTGGCCTGTCATCTGGCCACTTCAGTGAGCTGGGGACCCTTCCTCTGGGTCCCAGTCTAGACCGGGATTCTTCCATGCTGGCACTGCTGACATTTGAGACAGCTAAGTCCCTGTTGTGGGGGCTGTCTGCAGGGGGTCAGCAGCATCTGTTTCTACCCACAAGCTGTGACGACCAAAATGTCTCCAGATATCACTAAATGTCCCCGGTTAAAAACCGCTGCTCTGCCCAAGCTTGGGACTGTCACACTTCTGTCTCATCATCTTCCTTTCATTCATTTCCCAGCTCCCTCACGTGCTCCCCACCCCCACTGCCCTTCCATTCCAGCCTCTTCCTCTCCGAGGACACCAGAGCCAGTCAGTGATGCCAACAGCACAGGGCAGTGCCTCTCCTGAGAACAGCCTCGGGCACTTGAAAGCACATCACACTCCTGCTCCCCACCCCACCCCCAGCTTAATCAGAATCTGGGAGAAGGAACTGGATCTCAGGGTCTTAGACACTCTTAGGTGGTGTTCACTGAAGTCTGAGCCCCACACACATTTAAGGAAAAAGTCAGGCATCTGAAAGCCCAGGGCCACGCCCTGACCTCACTACCCAGAGGCACTCGATTTCGAGGCAGGATGGGGGAGTAGTCCCAGTCCCAGTCGCTCACCCACACAAGCCTCACCTCCTGTTACAGGGAGCCTGTGACACACCCCTCCCGACGGCTGGGGAGAGGAGGTGTGGCCTCAGCAATTTGGAGGCCAGACTTTAATTCAAATCATGCTATTCCAACCTTTAAATGTAATCATCTACTTTATTTAAGAAGATAAAGTCCTGGCCGATTTGGCTCAGCGGTTAGAGCATTGGCCTGTGGTCTGGAGAGACTGGGGTTCAGTTCCCGCTAAGGGCATGTACCTCAGGTGCAGTTTGTCCCCGACCCTGGGTCGTGTGGTTGGCAACCACTCAATGTGTCCCTTTCACATCGATGTTTCTCTCTCTGTCTCTTCCTCTCTCTCTCTCCCTCCCACTCTATCTGAACAAAAAATGAAAAAACGTCCTTGGGTGATGATTAAAGAAAAAAAAAAAAGAAGATGCAATAATGCTATTAAGATGAAAACATACCACACTAACTAGCCCAGGGGCATGATCTCAAGGGAGAGAAAGGAAGCTAGTCAGTGTATTAACAGGGGCTGGGTGAAAGGACTCTGGTTAATTTTTCCTACTTCCTCACATTCTCACTAATCTCCTAATGTCCTAGAGTGAATCAATCTTGGCGACACAAGACTGACAGCCCTCCTGGGGAGGCTGGGGGCAGGCTTCCAGGTTCACCCCCATGGCCAAAGCACAAGTCAGGCCTTGAGTCCCTCACCCTACCTCTACCTACTCTACCTCTCAGAGCCGCCCGTCCTAGTGACCCAGCACCTCGGGAGAGCCAGACTCGGGTCCTGTGGATGAAACAAGCCTGCCCCGACAGTCCCCCCCCCCCCCCCCACTGGAAGCCACCAGCTCCTAGATCCCTCCGGCTCAGGTCCTGCTCGCTGCCCCATGCGAACTCTGGGCAGTCCCTTACAGGTTGGTCTGATACAGCCTTTCTCCTTCCAGATAAGGGATTTGCCCTCCCAAAGCGGCCAAGGACAAGGGGAGCCTGCGTGGGCGCAGGAGCTCTCCGAGGCTGCTGTCACTGTGGAAAGGAGAGCCCCGGGTTCCCAGCAGTGTGGGAACAAAGCACAGGTAAGAGCAGTTTCACAACTCCGTGCCTCAGCTCTCGGCGCATTCTCCCTCGACAGTGTGGCAGCCCTCTCTGGCCACTGTGGGATCGGCAACAGGAAAAGTCCCGACTCGAAGACCGGTGGGTACATGCACACGTGTGCACACATTTCCCTCTAAAATTGGCTACTCTGCCTTAGGGTTTCGTCCTGTAGCGAAAGCAATTTCACATAGGTTTTCATAGCCCACCCACGTTCTAGCTACCTGAGTACACATCCCACGGAGTGTCCATGCCAGCACCCACGCCTCCCTGTCCCTGTCCAAAGAGAAAGCAGACCTCTTAAGGGCATGTATACCTTGAAACATGGACAAGCTGCATGTGGAGCCCTTAATAAATACCCAACGATTTCAAAAGAGCAGTACTGCTTATAAAACTGCACAGCACAACTCACAGCAGAGTAACCCTTTTCTACGCACACAGTGCTAGAAATAAATTAAGCAACGAGTAGAGAGAAAATGCCACCTCCCAGACCAACAGAAAAAAAAGGCAATCTGTCAAAACTGAGACACTGTCCCCCATCTTCCCAAGTAGGTCTAAGATTCTGGCTGCCCCGTCGGATACCCTCGGTGCAACCCTCTGCTCTTTCCTTTCATCCTCCAGGCAGGTTTTGAGGGCTCAGACAGTGGGGCCTTACTCCCTGGTCTGCTCCCCCTTGGCCACGTCTCCACTGGGGAAGACAAGGGGAGAGGCGGCATAGTTGGGGAACTTCTCCAGGTTGGTCTTCAAGAAGAGGAGATGCTCAACGGTCTCCACTGGGAGAGGGGAGTTGCTCTCCACAATGGCGGGGCTATCCAGGGAGGCAAAGACACTTCCAGAGAAGGTGCTGGTCGCGGGACAGGACAGATAGATGGTGGCCAGTCTTGCCAGGGCTGGCCAGACTTCCCGCCTCTTCTCCCAGTAAGCCAGGGGGTCTTCCTGGGCGCCAATGGTCTCGTTCTCACGCAGGTACTTCTTGACGATGACTGTGGCCAGGTGGTTCTCGGTGCAGAGAGAGGCTCCGTTCCTCTGGGAGGCCAGCAGCCCTACACTTTCCAGCTGCTCCAGCAAGCTCTTCTCCCTCTGGCCCAGCAGCAAAGACCCAGACCTGCTGCTTCTCCGCACGGGCTCCTTCTGGCCCTTCCCCTCAGCCCTGAGGCCCTTGGCTGCTCTGCCACTCAGGGTGGCATCCGCACACACAGCCTTGGGGCTCTGCAGGAAGGGTGAGGGAGGCAAGGAGTATTCAGACACCATAACCTCCTTCACCTTGTACACGAGGACTTGCTTCCAGTGGTCAATGTCGGCCCCCATGGGCAGGATGGCCTCGATCTGGCCCTTGAAGCGGGGGTCCAGCAGCGTTGCCAGCACGAACTCCTCGTGGTGGAAGAGCTTGCTGAGCTGACAGTCTGTGGAGAGCTGCAGGGCCAAGCCCTGGGCCAGGCGCACGGCCGCAGCCGCCTCCCCGCCACTCTGCTCCTCGAAGTGCCGGTGAACCTGCTCCAGGAAGATGTGCAGGTAGCGCAACTGCGGCAGCACCTGGCTTAACGAGGCCTGCGGCGCGCTCGCCTCCTGCACCACCATCTGGAAGGGCCGCAGGAGCCTGACCAGACTGTCTGTCAAGCTCCAAAACATGGTCGACAGGGCCATCCCCGCCTTCCCCAGCTGGTGCTTCTCCTCGTAGTCGCGCAGTGGCCGCTGCTGCCCCACCAGCCACTCCAGCAGGTGGTAGGCCGAGACCCAGTGCTCTGAGAGCTCCCAGAAGGGCTGGTGGACAGGCAGGCCGCACTGCTGCTGCAGCTGCGTGAGGAGCCGCCGGGCCTCCGCAGAGCCTTGGAAGTGGCTGCAGATGGCCCTGGCTGTGCCCAGGATGATCTGGACACTATGGTGGTTACACAAGAAGTTTCTCACCAGAGAGTTGAGGCAGTGGGCAAAGCAAGGGACGTGGGTGTAGCCCTCCATCATCACTGCCTGCTCCAGGCTGGGGCAGCCACTCGATACCAGGAAGCCTGGTCGAAGGGAGCCATGGCCCAGCCACAGGCTGACCTGCTCCTGCAGCTCCCGCTGCCTGTCCTCCATACTGCTCTCCAGGGGCAGGCCTCGGACCCAGAGCACTGCCTGCTTCCTCAGGCTCCCTGACACCACCTGAGAGCTACAGGGCTGTATCACGCCCCAGTGGGCAGCGGTGGCCACGTACTCCTCCACGACCACTTCCTGGGCTGCCGTGGACATGGTGAGGTGGATGCGGCCGCCCTCAGCCCACTGCATCTCCCGGCGCACCTGCTCGCCCATCGCCTCGCGGAGCAGAGGCAAGGCCTTGCTGGAGAAGAAAGCTGGAGACGGCAGGTGGTAGCCAGGGTCAGCCTGGGCCATGAACCTCCTGAAGGGCGAGGAAGAAAAGAAGGAGAGCGGCAATGCCAAGCTGCAGAGTAATTCAGCGATGCTCTGGCTCCAGGCCTGGGAGCGGGACTGGCGGGGACCACCTGCCACTGGGGGAGCAGCAGGTTCCTCTTTGACGGGAGTAGGCAGGGGTGCTGGAGCCAGTAACTGCTGCTCACGCCTCCTAGGGGCCGGCTGCCCGTCACTGTCTTCTGAGCGTGGGCCATCTGGGCAAGGTCTTGATGACAGGAGACCCTCACGGACAAGGCTGGCAGCACCCGCAGGCAGGCCCCTCTGCTTCTCCACCCTTTCTGCGTCTCCCCCCTTTCTCCCTGGGCTGGCTGCAGTTAGCCCTCTTTCCCTCTCCAGCCCATGGTTACTCACCAGGGGACAGACCAGGTCTGAGGTTTTGGCCTGCCCCTTAATTTTGCCTCGTCTATTGCCGGTGTGACACAGAGTACAGGTGACATGACAGGTGTTCTTACAATCGATGGTAAAGAACCGTCTGACACCTGGAGCAGGCTTCTGACCGATGGTGTCCTGAGGGCTTGGGGAACGCCCCTGAGAAGCCCAGCCCTCAGTCTCTTCTATAGTTCTGGCCAGCTTCTTCAAGCAGGGTGGCTTCTGGAGGCTCAGCAGGGACTTCTCCTCCCCGACGCCAGGAAGCAAATGCCTCTTCTTCCACTTCTTAAGGCGCCGTACCTCTCTGTCCAGACGGGCTATGAGGATGTCAGCTTGGCTCGCCTCCTCATTCCCATGAGGCTGGCCTGCCTCTGACCTGTCCAGACTGGCTGCCTGCACTGGGCCTGGAGTAGAAGGGGCCGGGCCAGAGCTGCGCTTTGGGGCTCTTGCCTTCTTTCCTGCTGGCTGCCCCACCTCTCTCCGTCCACGTGCCTTCTGCTTGGACACCTTCTCAGGCTGCACACAGAGCTCCTGGCCAAGCCCAGATATCACACCACAGAGTTCAGAGCCTCCCTTTGGCTTACTCTGCCCTGGGCTGGCCTGGCTCTTTGCACGAGAGGCAGCTGAGTGAAAACCAGGCCTCCCCAGGGAGCAGGCTCTTCTCTTTCTGCTACAGACACGTAGGCCCAGGGCACCTTCCTCCTGCTCCTCCAGGAAAACTTGGTCAGGTGAGGGGATGGAAGAATCACTGGGGAGGGGACGAGATCTCTTCCTTTGCAGGGGCAGATCCCTCTCACCCTCCTTTTGGGAGCCAGAGGGTCTGACCTTCCTTCGGCCACTGCTGGCCTTCTCCTCTATGTCTACAAACTCAAGTTTGACCTCAGTCTCTGGCAGGTCCTCCCTGGCACCCCAGCCAAGTCCACAAGAGGTGTTGGTAGCTCTGGTGTTGGTAGCTCTGGTGTTGAACCTGGAGCCAGGAGAAGTCACTGTGGCAGCTGGACTCTGGGGTGTGGTCATGGGGGAGACAGATCCTGAGGATGCATGTCTCTTGGGGGGCTTTTTGATTTTTTCCACTTCCAACATGCTTGGGAACTTGGGGGAACGAGAAGATGGGCCCAGGCTGCAAAGCAAGATGAAAAGAATAGCTCTCAGCTGCCCTACTTGACCTTGGGGAACACTGAGGGGAAGGCGAGGCCCAGAGGGGACAGAGGACAGCAGGGGACAAAAAGCATAGAGAAATATGAAGTCTGCTTCAAGACAAAACTCTCAAGACCTCAAACCTCCTTGGCGAAGGCTGCTGTTCACTCCCCAGACCCAATGGAACAGCACTCAGCCGAAATGCCCACAGCCCTCTGCACTTACTGGTTTCTGTGTCCATCTTCTTTGCCAAACTGACTAGTGCTTCTCTATTTTCTCTCAAAGTTTATTGAGAACCTAGTGCACATTTGGCAACTCTCCCGTATGGTGGGCACTGTATAGAGCAGGCAAGGCCCCTGCGTGCAAGGGGCCTCCAGGGTGGGGTAGGGACAGACGCGAGTAAGACTCGCTCACGACAGTTAGAACCACCGCAGTGCAGGCATGAAGGAGCAGGCTCGAGGCTAGCAGACCTCGCCAAGGAGTCAGGCAGGTTTCCCTGGAAGAGATGCAGGCACTAGACCCTGTAAGCACAAGCCAGGAGGGCAGAGAGCCTACTGGCCCCTGCATCCTAAGCACCTGGCTGTACCTGGCATAACGCAGGGCACCATAAGCAGGTAACACAGCCCAGATCCTTTGACATTCCGTCTCTAGAAGTCAGCCTCCAGCAAAGAACACAGGACGGGGTAGCTCCTAATGCCAGTGACTCCCCTAGGGGCCTCTCATTCTCCTGTCTGTCAGAGACACTCCTGAAGGGTTGCGTACACTTTATTGCCTCCCATTCTCCTTCCTGGCTCTGGCCCTCAATGCTCCCAGTCACCACTCTGGCCAAGGCCCTCAGCGACCCCATGGCCTTTTCTGCAAGCTGAAGCGCCTGCCCCCGGCCTCTGTTTGGAAGACTGTTTCTCCATGGCCTGGGGACACCATATTTTCTTGGCCTTCCTCTCACTTGCCCTTGCTCTCCAGTCTCTGGCCCTTCTCCCTCTGCCTGTCCCTCAGTGATGTTTCCTGGGGTTCCTTCCTAGGTCCTCTTCCTACACCCTCACTCTACACCTTCTCCCCGACTGGGGCTGCACTTACACACTGGCTACTGCCGCCTCTCTCCGGCTCACCTGCTCCTCCTACACCCAAGTCAGACAGACACCTGTCACCCGATGCTCAGACCCCAAACCTAGGCCTTTCCTGGAGACGAGGTCAAATTCGGAGGTCTCCAGAGGACAGGGACACGAAGAGGTCAGGAGAGGAATACACAGAGAGAAGAAAATGAAAGGGCCCTGAGCTAGGACGTGCTTCCTCAGGAGAAAGAAGGTTCAGAGAAAGACGTAAGAATCCCGCCACAAACCTCAGGAAGGAAGTAGTCTTCCTCCCTCAGACCAAAATGAGATGCTGGCTAAAGATGTAAGACCAGGGCACCCTGACACCACGTGACGTCCAACGGAAAGAAGGCTCACCAGGGATGGCAGGACGGCCTCTGCAGGTGACCAGCCCGCGAGGCGGCTCCCGTGAGACTGCCCAGGCAGGAGTGTGGGCACCGTGACACTGACGGGCTCCTTTCAGCTGGCAGAGCTCGGAAGGACTAAGAGACAGTGACCTCACACCCATCATGCAAGAACTCAGTCAACTGCCACCACATCAACCGTCTGAAGCCCAGAGGTGAGGCTGTGGAGGGTCTGAATACAGGTGCAAGTGAAATGCAAGACACTGCCTGGTCCCAGAAGCGCTTCGGGATGTCAGAGCTGACGGGACTCACCTCAGTTCTTACTTGATGGTTGAAGGAACAGAAACCCGGGTGCGATGTGCCGGCCAGTGGCGGAGCGGGAGACCCGAGCTGGCAGCTGGCCCCCACAGGAGCCTGCAGGCCTCCTCAGGGCTGGGGCACGGCGCCGGGTACCGAGAGCAGGGCCTGCATGCGCCCTGCCCTCACTGACGACGAGACGAAAAGGAAAGAAGCTGTGTTAGGGCTGCGGCTGGAACAAAACACAATCCCAGTTTTGTCCCCCCTCAGCCTTGTCCCCTGTGTGTCTGTGTCTGCAGATGCTCTTGATCTGCTCGACCACTGAACAAGAATTCACCAAACATCTACCGCGAGTCAGCACTGTGTCCTAGAAACGTGACTACAGAAGAGTGACTGCCCGGCTAGCGCTCGGGGCTCGGGAAGAGACAACGCCCTAGAAGTGGGCTCACGGCCCTGGAGCACGGCCAGTGGCAGGAGGTGCTGTGGAGGCTGGGCCCGGGCTGCCATCGACGTAAATCGAGCCTGTGACAGTGGAATTTAGACTGTCTTGTAAGGGTCGCTTACCTTAGGCTACTGCTTCAGGATCCTAACCTCCTGACCAACGGCCTGGGCAGCTCCGGAGCCCGCGCAGTCCCTGGCACTGGCGCTGAAGTACACAGGACAGCGAGGCCGACACTGCAGCACCAACGCTGATCTCAAGGGAGGTAAAATATTCAGTACGTTAGTAGTAAGAAGTCACTGTGACGCTTCTCACGACAGATGACAAACGCACACTGGAGGATTACTACAAGACGGAGACCCTCAGGCCGCACAGCGGGCAGCAGTCGAAGGGGCGCCACAGTGGCCACGCTGGCAGGTGTGGCACTGGGAAGCAGGAGGTGAGAGGGCCGGAACAGGTAACGCAGAGGGACTGGAGGAGAGGGGACAGTTGGAAATCTATTCAGGAAGCAGATTATGCTTGAGTTGAGATGTGGAGGACGAGGAAGGCATACAAAGGGAAAGAGGTTCCCTAGTGATCCCATTTACTAATATAGTTCAGTTTTGGAGAGACTGACTTTAAGGTTGTTCTGTAACAAATCTTCAGGAGTAGATGTGACAGATACATGGGTCAGAGGACAGAGGTCTGAGCCAAAAATACAGATCCACGTAAAAGTCTCCTTAGAAACTGAGGGAAAATGCCACAGGGAGAAGAGTGGAGGGTGGTTGCTCAGGCAACACCGACACTATGGGGAGGGTGGGGGATGAGCAGACTTCAAAGATGACTGAGAGGCAAAGGAGGGAGACAGAGAAAAACCTAAACTGATGTGAGGGAAGCCAAAAGATTTTGCAGAAAGGATAGGCAGGGTCAAAGGTCAATGGGTGAAGAAGGTGGTGCCCAGGGCTGTGCAATATGTGGGGGAGGCAGGTACCTGCAATGTCAGGGGCGGGGGTCATGCTTTGGGATGGGAAGGAAAAGGCTTGGCTGCGTCTCTAACCAGAGGAAAGGGTGCAGTGGGAAGAGGGGCGAGGTAGGCATTCAGGAGACAGGGAGAACAAAGGCAGGAGCTTCCCAATGGGAAGGGATTCAGGACACTGGTGGTCGGCAAGGTTATCCCTGGAGATGAAGACAAATCTCTTTCTTCTGACAGAGCAAACAAGGAAGGGTGACTGTGGTGGCAGTAAGCCCTTGAGTGTGGGTAGAAGGAACACAGGCAGTTTATGGGCAGGAGCCCAGACTCCCAAGGGGAAGCCATGTACTCCCGGAGGCAGCAAGCTGCTGGCTGAGCCTGGGATCCTGGTGGTGGGGCCTCCGCACTCTTCCATCTGTGTGCTGGCTCCAAGGATCAGACTCTGAGCACCCTGACCAGGCCTTTCCCGCGTGTTGGCCGCTTCTCCGGTTCTCTTGTGCCTGCTGCACCCCAGGGCCTTGTGCAGACCTCAGGGCCACCCCGCCCCCCTAGGCCTTTGGTAAACGTGCTGGACCTTTCTCTGAGTTTTCACTCTGCCCAGTCCCACTGGCCCCGTCTTCTCTCAGCTCCTGCACTGGGGGAGAGGCTGGTGTCTACCTGTCCCCCAGACCCCGGGGGGATTTCTAAGCACTTACTGGGCCCTCGAGTCCTCAGCTTCTCATCCCCTAGCCGCTCCCCTGTGAGATGGCCAGGCGGTGAGGCAAAGGGAGGGGAGGAGCGGAAGGGACTGGGGCAAGCCGCTGTATAGGTCTGGGTTTTGTCCCACATGCAAATTTGGCTACGTGCAAATCCGAGGGCAGATGTTTTAAATAACCACGCATCCTTAGGTTTCACGTTATGCAAACGTGACACAAAACGAGATCCGAGTGACACTGCACGCCAGCGGGCTCGCCTCCGCTCCGCTCTGCGAGGCGGGCGGGCCGCGGGGCGTAGGGCCAGCGTGCGCGGGGTTGAGGCCCGGCTGCGGTACCCGCGGGGGTGTCCCCGACCACACGGCGGCGGCAGCACCACGCCCGCGCTCCGCAAGGGCTGCGTCAACGTGCGGTAGGCGCGAGTGCCGGCCACGCCGCCCGCGGACATTCCGGCCTCACCTGGCGTGTTCCAGGCGCCGGGAAGGGGAGGCCGGCCTGGGGGGGAGGGGGCCACGGCCTCCGCCCCTCCCCCCGCCTCAGCGCCACCTCTGCGAAGTGGCCCACACGCCCTGCCCTCGGCTTACCTACGGCCGGGCGCCCGCCGCGAGCGGGCTGCTGAGGCTGCGAAGCCGGGCGCAGCTCTCCCGGCACTCCCAGGCCGGCCGTGCAGAACCGCCGCCCCCGCCCCCCGGCCCCTAGGACGCGGCAAAAGCCACTGGAAAGGCCCGGCAAAGTCTGAGGGGCCTTCATCTTCCGGGGCGCGCAAGAGCCACTTCCGGGAGCGACAGCCCGAGCCCACCCACCCTCAGGTGCGAACGTTTTCCCAGCCGCCGGCCAGCCCTCAGTGCGCAGGCGCCGGGGGGGGGGGGGAGGCCGGAAGCACCACCTCCTTGCCGGAAGTCCCGCCCTTCTCCCACCGTGACCGACCGTACTTTCCCTAGTTTACTGCTGTTAGTTGCAGGTGCTGTTTCGGGGTGGCCCGTGGTGGGTGACTAGGGGCACGGATATTAGCCCAGTGGGGTCAGACTGGACCTGGGTCCAGCAACCTCGGTACTTGAGTGCTGGCCAGGAAAAATTCAGAGCCAAGACTCAAAAGGGAACATTTATTTGGAAAATCAGGGAAGTAGTTTGTAGAAGAAATGGTTTAGGAAATAAGTCATAGAGGTAAAGGAAGGGCCCTTGGAGCTGGGGAGTGAGGAAGGTCATGGTAATGTGCCTGGAGGAAGGGGGAGGGGGCAGGAAAGGCGCCGGTGGGCTCTGGGAGGGAGAGCAGCCACTGGATCCTCAATCCTGAGCTTTTAAGGGTGGAGGTTTTAGGGGAGATCCCAGGGGAAGATCTCAGTAGAATATTAATGGTCTTCTAGGTGTGTCCTTTCAGGGTTGGGGCCTCCACTGATTGGTTGTTCCCAGGGCAGGGGGACATTATCCAGTGCAGGTGGTCCAGTCTGGTTTTGCTGCTTTTCTGGGCCTCGAGCTGAAACACAACTGAGGCCAAATGTTATCTCTAGGGAGGAAAGGTCAGGGGTTCAAACTGCCTGACCAGTGATATGCTAGGGGAGGAAAAGTCACACTGAGGACGGTCCCACCCTACATTTGTCCTTTCGGCCCTGGTGACCTTCTGTACCTGCCAAATGGTCCTTGCTCTGCTCATGTCTGTCCAGCTGCCTACCACAGAGATTAATAGCTGCATTTTGTAGTTGCTACTGCTGTGTAATGTCCACATAACTTTGAGTTCTCTTTTACCCCTTTTAGTAATTACTTTTTATTAGAACACAATTCTTCATATTAAATTTTCCCTTAAAATCACTAGTGTGGTATCTGTTTTCTGATTGAATTCTGACCAATACAAAACACATCTCTTATCTCTTAGTCCTATCAAAAAATGCACACCTAAATACAATCATGAAGAGACATCTGACAGACCCCCCAATAACAGACTTTCTACAAAATAAGTGACCCGTAGTTTTCAAAATTTCAAGGTCAAATAAGACTTTTTAAAATGACAACTCATGGCAATGTGTGACTCTGGGTTGGCTTCTTTGGTTGGAGAATGGGAGGTGATTGTAAAGAATATTTACTGGGACAACTGAGGAAATTTTGAATATGGACAATGAATTTGATAATAACATTGTATCAATACTATAGTTCCTAATCTTCATAATTATACTGGGATAATGTAAGAGAATGTCCTTATTCTTAGGAAATAATGTACTTATTGGTAACTAGGAACTTACTCTCAAATTGTTCAAAATAATTGTGTATGTGCACCCACACGCACCTACCACAGGTGGCCTTGAAGGAGGCAGTCACAGAGTTCTCTCTAAAATAAGCTACAAATCTAATTAAATCCCACTAAAAAGTCTAACTGCTTTTTAGAACAGACGAGGTGATTCCAAAGTTCAGAAGGAAAAATAAACAAGCGAGAATAGCTTAGGAAAATTTGAACGAAGAACAGTTATGGTTAGGGGTAAGTAGGAACAAATCCTACAACCTATAAAAAAATGTAACGCTACTACAGTTGAAACACTAGTGCTGCAATGTGTTGAGAACCACGTTCATGGAATGCAATAAGAGGTATCAAGACAAGCCCAGTGTATTAAATAAATTATAGTAATCCATATGACAATATTATGAATACATTTTTTTAATTAAAAATTTTTTTTCTTTATTGATTTTAGAGAAAGGGAGAGGGAGATGGAAACATCAATGAGAGAGAACATCAACTGGCCACCTCCTGCATGCCCCCAACTGGGGATCGGGCACACAACCTGGGCATGTGCCCTGACTGGGAGTCAAACCGGCAACCTCTTGGTGCATGGGTGGATGTTCAACCACTGAGCCACACCGGCCGGGCAGTTTTATCAGTTTTTGCCTCATATGTTTAGATGCCTCATTGTTAGGTACATGCATGTTAAGGATCGGTATGTCTTCTTGGAGAAATGGTCCCTTAATGGGTTTGCTTCTACATGCACAGAACATCCCTGGAAAGACAACAAGAACTGTAAGAGCAGCTCCGGGAGGGAGCTGGATTGTTAGGGGTCCAAGAGGAGACTCTTCACTGTAAACTCATTTATACCTTATGAAGTTCATTTCACAGGAATGTACAACTGTACCCACACTGCAATCTCGAAGTGTTTTCATGCGTATATTCCCTGAGAACTTTAGAGCCAACGTATCTATTCTGGTACCATCTCCTCCGCCCAGCATTCGTGTTTCCTATTGAGAATGGTTTCGACCACTACAGATTATGTTAAGAACATTTGACATGAAACAGAAATACAGATACATAAGCGGGCCCCAGGTATTTCTTCATGGCACTTATTTCCCAGGTCCTGTCGCACATGTCAAAGTACTCAGGGTGCTTGCCGCTTTTTTTTTATTTTTTTTAAACAAGTTGGATCTGTGTGGTGTCCATTTTGGGAACAAAAAAGGCAAAGGGCCCTGGCTGGTTTGGCTTGGCGGTTAGAGCATCAGCCCACGGACCAAAGTCTTGTAGGTTCGATTCCACTTGAGAGCATGCACCTCGGTTGTGGTTTATACCTGGCCCAGGTCCAGGTCGTGCAGGAGGCAACCAGTCGATGTGGCAGTATCACATCGATGTCTCTCTCTCTCTCTCTCTCTCTCTCTCTCTCTCTCTCTCCCCCCCCTCCCTCCCACCCTATCTGAAGATAAATGGAAAAATATCCACAGGTGAGGATTAAAAAAAGAAAAAGCAAAGGAAGCCAAGATCCTGGCAGAATAAGATGTGGCGTGGAACCGAAGAGTTAGCATGTAAACGTGTTGTGGTTACTAACTGGCACTCACTGACTAGCCAGGCACTTAAACCCATTCTCTCAGCTCACATTTGCATCTTCCATGAGGTAGGTAGGCATTATTATACCAAGTCAGCCTTAAAACTGAAGCTCAGAGAGATTACATAACTCTCACTTAACCACTAATCGGTGGAGCTGGAACTTGAAGCCAGGCAGCCCAATTCTCAATTCTGCACTCTCAGCCATGGAGCTGAGCTGCGCAGGCAAGGTGAACGACTTTGGGAGGCTGGGCAGAAAGGCTAGAGACAAATATGTTTGCCGAAACAACTGCTGTGGACCAAGAGCACGGCTGTTGCAGCTGGTATCACCACCGACGAAGGTGGCGGCCTCTGCAGCGGGCCATCGGGGCCCAGCACCCCGGCTGCGGAGACAGAAGGGGCAGGTGAAGAAAACCAGCACCCTCCTGTCTCCCAGGTCGTTGTCAGCAGGGAGGAAAAGCTGTGCTGCCATGAAGCCCTTGATCCTGAGGTTAGGAAGCTGAGGTGGGGGTTCTGTGGGTTTCTGAGAATATCCATCCCAACCATGCCCACCTCCTTTCCAGGGGAGATGCCTGCAGGGTAAGCTCAAGGTTCTGCTGGGCCAGGTGTGACGCCAGAGCTCCCTCCCTCACCTGGCCTCCAGTGAGCCTCCAGTGTGTTGCTGGACCACATGTTGCTGGGTTAGTCCATCTGGGCACCCAATAATCCCCTAAAGCTTGGGGCGTGGTCCAGGTCAGAAGCTGCAGGCCTACTGGGAAAGGCACACAGGGCACCCCGGCACTCAGGATACCAGCTTTCATCAAGGTTTCCCAGCCCGTTCTGCAGGGGCTCTGCTTTGATAAACTGAGTAAAATTTTATCAATCACTTGATGGGTCAAATCTAGAGTAGTGGGTCCCCATGTTGGGGGGGGCTCCCCCCCCCCAGGGAACACTTTTAAATGGCTGGAGACCTATATGGTTGTCACAATGGGGAGCAGGGAGAGGGGTTCTATTGGCACGTGGTGGGTAGAGGTCAGGGTGCTGCTGAACATCCTACAATGCACAGGGCAGTGCCCCTCGCCCCCCACAAAACATTATCCAGCCCAACTGTTGTAGTGCTGAGGCTGAGCAACCCTGTCTAGAGGGTTTCAGCTAGCATGAGAAACTCGGGAACCCTGCTTAAAATGCAAAATCTTATACACACACACACACACACATACAGAAGAAGGGGAGAAACACGCATGGATCAGCTGCCTCCTGCACACCCCACGGGGGATCAAGCCTGCAACCTGGGCATGTGCCTCAACTGGGAATTGGACCCACAACCCTTTGGTGCCCTGGGCAATGCCCAACCAACCACGCCACACCAGTCAGGGTGGAATGCAAAACCTGGAGCCCCAACTATCACATTCTCACCCAGCAGGGTCTGGCGTGGACCCCAGGAATCCGCATTTTCAAGCAGTCAGGTAATTCTAGCACAGGGGCATGTTCCACCTGGCGAAATGCCACTGCCTGATCCTAAAGCTCTGCTCCCTGGCCCTGTGTGGGCCTGATAGCACCCTGAGCGCTTATTAAAAGTCTGGGATCCTCGCTCTACCCCTGGCGATCCCGCCGGTCGACCTGGCCCCAGCACTCCGAGGGCTTGTTTGGCTGAGTGATTCTTATGCAGGTTAGTAACACAGCGTGGGCTGCGAGCGGAGACTTTGGTCATCTGCCCTCACTTTTCTGGTGGTGCTTGTCAACTGACTTTCTTCCTGGAAACCCCAAGGCTTACAAACAAAGGTCACTTTCCACACAGAGGTGATTGTCAGGAGCAGCTATAACCACTCGGCTGATTTCACCCCACTTTTCACGTTCCAGTTGTTATTAATGAATGATCCTATTTCTGTTCCAAACAACCACAGCCCATCAAGGGGCCTCGCTTTAGGGGCTTCATCAAGGAGGGTGCCGCTGCGGCATGCAGTCATCTGTGCGTGCCTCCCTCCCCATCGAGGATCTGGGCTGCTGGGCGGCCCTATGACTGGCTGGGACTGGTCAGACCTCAGGGTGTTGAGGTGGGAGAGGGAAGCCTGGCATCAGAGCATCAAGTTGGCAAGGCACCTGACCTCTTTGCCCTCGTGTCCCCAAGCAGCGCCTGGCACCTGGTTCAGTAAGCACCAGCTGTGGGGGTTGTTGTTCCATATCCTTGAAGGAAATGTCATCCAGGCTGTGGAGTCGTCCGGAGAACTGTCCCTGCTCCCCATAACAGCCACTCTCTAAGGCCACGCCCTGTAACACAACCCTCTCCTGGTGGCAAGGCACCCTGGTCTCGAGGTTCCCATCCTGCGTGCAGGTGCTGCCCTCTGCTGGCCACCCTGTGTGTGCAGCTTAGCTTACCGAACTGCATTGTCTTCTCCAGGGCCCCCGATCCAGAATGGGCTCCATGGATCCCCTCCTCCTCCTCTTCCACCGCCAAAACACTGGTCACCTTAGCTCCTAAGAAGACCTCAAGCCACCCATTGGTCCCCACCACCTCTCACCTGGGGCCCTGTCACCAGGTTCCTGTCCATGATGCATCCTGTAGAGATCATCCTAGAAATCAAATTAGGTCCAGTCCCTCCCAGACTTTCAAACCCTTTGTGGCTTCTCACTGCCCTTCAGATCGACCCATGTTCCGCAGTCAAGGTCAGGCCCTCAGTGGTCTGGTCCCTCCGCTATGCACTCCTCACCCCAAACTCTTGCACTGGCTCCCCTGGCCTTGGAGTGCCAGTTCCTTCTGCTCACTGTCCCCTGCCCCCTGCAGGACGGGGACCCTCACCCAGGCCCTGCATCAAGCAGGCAAATTTGGGCCCCCGGGCATTTGGGAATGAGGCAGGCTACACTCCAGAATTGTGGGGGAGCTCCTTTATTGCACAGCCCGGGAGCTGTTCACTCTGACTGGGGGGCGCAGGGAGGTGGTGGCCCACGTTCCACCTGGGCAAGTCCTTGCTTCCTCCTCCTGCTAGGCCTGCTTCGGGCCGAATCCGGGCCAGCTGCACTCCCTTCAGATCCCAGGGGAGTGTAGTTCTGTGTCCACGGCCCAGGGCTGCAGCTCCAAGCAGCTGCCAGTCTTCTTTCCTGTCCCCCACCCGAGAACATGGGGATCAGGGGCGAGCGGCCAGCAAACTTGACCTCAGCCAGGAATCTGCCACCAAACAGTGATTTCCCACCACTCATAAGTCACTAGACATGGATCGGGTTTTCTGTGCAACCTACACACAACACCCCCTCTCCAGGGGGGCCATGAGGGTTAGGCCAGGAAGGGAGTTTGAAAGGAGGAGGTGGGATGTCATGGGGAGGCCCCCGCCTGAGCTCTAAGCAACAGGCCAAGCCCAGACCAAGAAATCCAGATGAAACACCTCCCATTCTACTGCCGGTCCAAAAATGACACCCACGAAGTGGGAGGAAGTCCAATGAAATAAATAGTCAATAAATACTCGAGATTGGCTTCTCCCTCCAGGGAGGTGATGCAGCAGAGAGGGGACCCCAATTAGCTCTGAGACCGAGGGCAGGTGTCTGAGACCTCAGCCTCAGCTCTCCTGGGAGTGAGGGCATGGGCTGGGGGTCCAAGGAGCCTACTGGTCTGCAGCCTGCTCAGCCAGTAGAGCCGACACCCCTCCATCCCTCGCCCTTAGGAGCCCACAGTGCCTTGTCTACGCGTCTCTCTTCACCCTCCCCAGCTCAGGCGACCTGGATGCTGCTATGAGGGGCTCTGCCCTCTGCCCTCCCTGTGGCCGGGCCAGATGAGGCAGAGTCCAAACCGGGGGCAGAAGCTGCCCTGTTTCTGAGCCTCTGGGGAGGGGGCTTGTCCTGGGAGGGCTGGGCAGGTACGGGAGGAGAGGAGGAGAGTGGAGCAGGATATTCTGAGGAGGCACAACTTTCTGAGCAGGCCAATTAAGTGATGACAACCATAAAGGATGCTCAAACATACAAGTTTCCATCTGGACCCAAATTACTGGGGGTATTTGGTGTGAATGTTTTTTCATTTTCAGAAATTTCACATTTAATGTGTCAAAAAATTAAAGAATTCCAAGGAAGGCCTTTGCCACCCCCAGAGGAGCCCTCTCTGCACTTCGCCGTGAGGACGGCCTGGGGTCGCGCGGCAGGACCGGGGCGGAGCTGGTGGAGCTGGTACTCCGGCTTCCTCCCTGGCCTGGCCCTTCTCCACGGACACAGGCCTTCCCTGGGCTTCCCAGGAGCAGAGGCAGACACCACCGCCTCAGCTCCTGGCCTGGTCCTGCTCGGCGAGGGGCGGGGGGAGTGTGAGGGCGGGCTCTCTCCTGCTCCAGTCTGACTCCGCTCAGGCCAGTTCGGCTGGGGAAGGGGGTACCTCTGGGAACCAGGGTGGCCCTGGGGGAGGGAGCACAGAGGGACCAGGACACAGCTGTGGGGCTGGGGACAAAGGGGTCTTCAGGGACAGTTCCGCCAAGGTCATCCAGAGAGCTGGGGCACCTGAAACACATAGCACATGAAAGGGTCACGTCCTCACCATGGAGACTCCCTTTCTACCCCCCCTCCCTGCCTCTGCCCGTCACTCAGCTCATCCCATCTGTTCCTCTGTCCAGCTACTGCCTCGACACTCCTGGGCCCCAGGCCGTCCTCTCGCAGGGCAGATTCTGTATCCCCGGCCACAGCCTCTGGGAAGCTCCCTGAGGACCGTGGTTTACCATCCATCCTGGTGCCCAGCACAGTGCCAGGCAGGCATCTATCCTGGTGCCCACACTTTTTTTTTTTGGCTGACAAATGAACATCTGAAACCAAATGTGAACTCTTAAGAGAGTGGCCTGCCTGTCCTCTTCCTCCACGCCGGACCCCTTCCCCACCCCCAGCAGAGCCCCAGTACCTGGGCGAGCGGAGCGTTCATTCCCACAGGAAGCGCACGTACCAGATGGTCTCGTTCTTCAGCTGCGGCCCAAACAGGGGGTTTAGCTGGGCCAGGATGGCGATGAGCCAGCTGCCAGGGACAGCACAGTGAGGGTGAGCTCGGACACAGCAGGAATCTCTGGGTGTGCCTCATTCCAGGCTTGTGGCCATAGGACCAACCCAGCCACCAGCCACAGGGCCTGTGTTCCGGCAGGTGAGCTGGGCTTTGTGGGCTTTGGTTTAGGTTAGGTTTGATTTGATGGTCTGTAGGTTTATAAGATCCAGAATTGAGGCTGGACCCTGGGACGAGGGAAATGGTAAGACAGCCTCCCGGGGTGACTCCCAGCTGTGCCCCAGTACATCCCCGGCTGGGCCCCCGAGTCTGCACCTGGGAGCAGGACAGAGCTGTTCTGACGGGAGGCAGGTCAAAATCACTCACTTTTAGGAGCAAGAGGAAGGAACTATCCCATACGAGGAGGTGACGACCAGAACGCCCCACTCCCAGGCTTGCTGGGGATAGGACAGGGCCTGTTCTGCAGGCCAGGGAGCTCTCTAAGGACCCAGCAGGCTGCACATGTGGGGTGGGGGGTAGGGGGTGCCAGGCCCCAAAGAGCCTGGAGGTCCACGACTTGCATGCCTCCAATGACGGCACCAGTGGTGCTCGGCCTGGTTTTGCAGGAGGGACCCAGCTCTTCCCCTTCCGATTCCCCACCGCAGCCAGTCACCTGCCTGACGCCCAGGACGCCGTGGGAAACGGCTGCCTGCTTATCATCGGCATTACCCTGAGTTTATGTTCTGTAGATATAACTTCTAGGTGTGGCCTTTGCTTAAGTGGCCCCACCTTTCTGCCTGTGTGCGTCTGACCTGCAGCCCAGGCTCCCTTCCCATGCTGATCTGGTGTCTGAAATTCCCACATCCTGCCTGTAAGTGCTTGTCTCCCCCACATTCCCAGTCACCATCCTCTGAGCCTTCAAGCCCAGCCTCTCGAGGGCCCCCGCTAGGAGAGATGAAGACATCTGTCAAGCCCTGAAAGACTAAGAACAGTACAGAGAAAGGGCCTTAGAGATGCTCCGTCCAGAGAGAATTCTGAAAAAACGATGCCTCGTGTATTTAAAGTAATATTTGAGAGTTATGATTATTTTTAACAAGTTTTTTTGTTGTTGTTAATAGGAGGCAGAAATATTAACCATTAGGTAAGGTGAAATTAGAATTGACTAATAGGAATAGCTCATGATCTAATAAGATAAAACAGGTTTTAACTATGTAACAGGAACCAAATCTGAAATCAATCATGCACATTTTTAAAAATGTGGGTATTAGCCTATGTATTTGAAAAATGCAGCAGTCCTGAGAAATATTAGTTTCTTTCAAAAGAATCTGTTACCTTGTAAAGAATCAGCATTTCGTGTTACTTGTTCTATCTTGATTGTTCTGATTTCAAACACCCAGCGACACCAAACTTAACCCACAAAAATGGTATATGAGACCCAGGAGGATAGCATAGGCCTCACATGGGTTTAACTGATTATGAGAGAGGCCTCCCTAACACCAGAACATGGACTTACTCCTCGGTTTGGCAGCCAGGATGATTTAAACATGGAACAAGGAAACACGGAAGGACTGGGGATGGATGGAGGGGCGGGCTGTCTTTTTCTGTAGAGGGGAAGGGGCTATCTTGAATGGCAGTTTTAGAAAAAGACCATCTAGACACTGGGGACATAGATATTGATTCCTTCGCACTAACTAGTTTCTCTAATCCCTCACAATGTTTTCCTATGTCCCCTGGGCCCCTTTCCAAGTTTGGAGACTGCCCATGTGGTGGCTCTAACTGGTGGCGTCACAAGCATCCAGGGGCGTGCGTTACAAAGGTGGATTCCCCAGCGTGCAGACCTTGAGCTCTGTGATTTCGTGGGTCGAGGGTGGGCTGTATTTCAGCCTTTCCAGACTCTGATGCCGAGTCAGACATGAAAAATACTGAGCTGGCCCAGTTCGCTCACTTCTCACACATGAGAAAGCAACAGCCTGAGGACATTACAGAGCTTGTCCAGGTGACACATTTAGGACCGGAACCCAGAGTTCATGACTTCCGGCCGATCGCTCTCTGCCATTCCAAACGGACTCCTCTCCTGTGTTTCACAGACCCAGCCTTTCAAGACCTGCACCTGCCACTATGGGGACAGAGGGGAGGGCAGGGCGAGGGAGAGGAGTGGGGAGGGAGGAGAAGGGCACTTGCAGATCTTGAGCTGGGAGAGGTACTTACAAGAGGTAGCAGCAGACAGCCGTGGCTACCAGCATGGTGACGATCACCCTGCAATGGAAGAGGGTGTCAGGTCAGGGCCGTGGATGGCACCCTCAGCGGGCTGGGCCAGGGCTGGAGAAGGAGCTCCTGGTGTCAGCCCCGTTCCAGTTGGTCTTCCCAGTGCCACACAAACACAGAAGGCTGAGTTCTACTCGGATGGAAAATAAAAACGCTAAGTGTCACCTTAAAGGGAAGTCGACCTTGACCACATCCAAGTCACCTTACGATTCCTTCCCTTCATCTCCTTTCTTGGCCGCCCACACCATGCCTGCATCTCAATGCAGTCGTGTTGGGAAAAGTCACTCATCAAGCTGTATCTGCAGCAACCCACTAAGGACGAGTCCAAAATTCGCTGGGCAAGGGGAAGGGAAGCATAAGACCAGAAGACCAGGCAGGGAGCCAGGAGACTGTGAGCCACCTCTGAGGCAGCGTGAGTGGTTAGAAAGAGCACAGGGACTTGCTGCCTTGTGTCCACTCATGGCTGGAGTCAGAAGCTTACAATGCACCATGGGAAACGTCAAGAAAGAACTCCCCAAGGCTTGCAGGCGAGGTGAGACACTAAGAAGGGTTACAAGGTAAAGCTGTCGGTCCTCAGCCCTGTCGACCCTGAAGAACAGAGGCGATACCCGTATGTCCAAGAGGCCTCCGGCCAGACCTAAACCAAATCCAAACCAGGCCCTGTGACCTCTGACCCAAAGCGCCTGAAGTCTTTGCCAAAGAAATTAGCACTTGATCCATTCTTTCAACATTACCAAGCACGGTGGGCCCAGACCTGTGCTGGGCACTGGGGTCTACAGTGGCATCAAGGAACTTGTTGGCATCAAGGGGAGACAGCACTTTACCACTGACAATACCATGAAGCAGAAACTGGTGAATGGGATAACCAGTACAGAAATCTGCTGGGGGGGCCTCCACCGGAGGATACTGGATAAAACGTGCACTGCATAATCCAGTCATGCACCATCGGGAGTTGTATGTGTGTGATTTCGTGTGATCCTCACAGCAGCCTTAAAAGGCAGCCATTGCCCGGGCCAGGGCTCTTGGCTGGAGCATCCTCCTGTGCACAGAAAGGTTGCAGGTTCCACTCCCCATCAGGGCACATACCTAGGTTGCAGGTTCATCCCCAGGCAGGGCGCTATGGACACAATCTATCCCTGTTTCTCTCCCACATGGTGTTTCTTTCTCTCTCTCTCTCTCTCTCTCTCTCTTCCTCTCTCTAGAAATCAATGGAAACATATCCTCGGGTGAGGATTTAAAAACAACAAGGCAGCCATCATCATCATCATCATCATCTCTATTTCACCCATGGAGAAAGGGTGTTCTGAGCGGGTGACATTCGCTCAAGGTCACAGCGGGTGCGGTGGGAACAAACTGCAGCACCAGTGGGAGCCAGGGCGGGACTGGCCGGAGGGGTGGCCCTCGAGCATCTCCGCGTCCGTCGGCTCTCCGCCTTCCCAAGGCCGACCCTCTCCGCCCTGCCCGGCTGAGCGGGGCCGGCGCGGGGCCGGCAGGAGGACTGGGCGCCGGGCGGGCCTCGGGCTGCCGCTCGCGCGACTCGTCCCGGAGGGGTCGCAGGGAGGCTGGGCCCGCGCGCGTCCCTTACCCGCGGTTGGGTCCTTTCGGCACGAACCAGGGCCCGGCGATGCCGATGAGGCCCCAGAACGTGGTGAAGACGATGACCGGGAGGGCGAAGGAGTGCGCCGTCATGGCGGGGCGCGGGACGCCCAGACCGGTGCCGAGCCAGCTGCAGATGCTCGGGGCGCGCGGGCCGCGGCCGGGCAGTGGGCGCCGAGCATGCGCAGTAGGACCGGCCGCCCAGGGGCGCGCTCGGTGGGCCCGATCGGCGCAGGCGCGCGCGCGTCCTCGGCGGAGAGGGCCGGGGCCAGGGGCCGAGCGCGCCCTTTCCCGGGAGCCGGGTCTAGTTAGTTGGACGGGCGTCTCGCTTCCACTTCTGGCTAAGAGAACTTACGGGGCAGAGGCATGTGTGGAAATAAACTCTGCTTTATTCAGAGAAGAAACGCCGAGAATCAGTCGCGGTTTTATACACCGCACCTGCACATCTGCGAAACCAGAAGCGGAGAGGCCATCCCTGCGCCGCCCCCACCGCCCTCGCAGGGTCCTTGGCTGGCAGGCACCTGTGAGGGAGCTGGCCGGTCTTCACCTGGTCCTGCTGAACACGTGGCAGGCCGGGAACCCACCTGAGCTTGGCGAGCAGCAGTCTGGTGTACATCAAGCTCTCTGACGTGTCGGGGGGGGGGGGGGGGGGCGCCAGGGCTGAAGCCCCTTCCTCCCGCCCGGTTTCTATGGCTGTCACCTACATGTCACTTATAATGCTGGCTGCTCAGGTCAGTCACAGGGCGTGGTGGCTGGGGGAACGCCAGGATGGGGGCACGGAGCTGTCCTGAAGAGCACATGAATGAAGGGGGTCGGAGGCTTGGCGGAGCACTTGCTCCTTCTGTTCCCAGTGCCCTTCAGCTTGTTTGCTTGTGAGGCAAAGAGTAGGAAGCGTCTCCAAGGCAGGGGTAGCCAGGCCCTGGGGTCTGAAACAAGGAGCTCGCCCTGCCTGAGGTGCTCATATTTCCGCCCTGGGGTCAGCGTTTCTGGGGCCCAGTTCTCTCTCAGGCTGGCACTGGAGGCTTTCCCGGAGCACAGATGTGGCAAGGCAGGTGTGCGTCCCCACCTGGCCTCCACCTCAGCCACCCGCACCGGAAGTATGTGCATGGAACCCACACAGTGTTGTCCGCAGGACGAGTCTTGCGCTGAGGGTTCTGAGGCTGGAAGGGCCATGGGGAGAGTCCTTACAGGAAAGTCACCTCAATTTGGAGTCCCTATGGACAGGGTGGGGACTACGACCCCTACTTTAGAGACCAGCCCCTGGCCTAGGGCAGATTCCTGAACTCCACATGGAAACTCGTGTGAGCGGGCTCCATCTTGGCTGTGACATACACTACCAGAGCTCCAGGCCTCGGACCCTGACCGCAGGGTGGGGAGAGACATGCCCATGGGTTCAAGGCAGAAAGTGAGAGCAGAATTCCTGGTGCAAAGACTAAGTGCTAAGGGGTCAGAAACCCTGGGAACCAGGGGTTGGCCAGTGAGCCGCTCAGACACCAGCATGGCAGGGGCTCTCCCGAGCACCTCTGGGGGGTGGGAGGGGGAGTCGCAGACTTCTGGCTGAGGGCCAGACAGCCTGGACTTGCAGCACAGAGCAGGGACCGCAGCGGGGCCGGGCAGCAAGGCCCTTCCTGCCCGTCTGGAACAGGGAAAGGCAGGGGCGAGAAAGCCCTTCCCCCAGCCTCCCTGGTTCCCAGCAGGGTTAGGAGGGCAGGACCAGACACGCCATGCCCCGCCAGGGAAGCAGCGCAGGAGCCTGCTGGAAGGAAGCTGCCCTGGAAGGCAAGTGCTTTACTCGGGGACAGAAGGGGAGATGGGCAAGGGCACCGGGACCCTCACAGTGTGGGCCACCCTGTGCGCCTGCAGTGAACCAACGAAGTTCCTGGAGGACCTTGCTGGAAACAGCCAGGCACTGAGCCCCCGTCCTGGGGTCTGAGTGAGCAGGTCTGAGTGGAGCACATGTCACAAGCACCCTAGGGAGCCCCAGGCTGAGTCCCCAGAGCAATGCTGGGAAGAGCGGACTAGACCATCATGCCGATGGCACGTCTAGGCAGCACCTCTTCCCACAGTAAAGACATCGGTGGTGGGGGTGGGGTCGAGGACAAAGGCTGAAAGCCGCTGAGTCCCCTGTGTGCAGTCCGGGGTCTAGGCGGACGTGCTGCCTTTCGTCAGTCCTGTGGCAGGCTCTTGGACTCTGCTGCCCCTTCATGGAGGGGGAACTGAGGCACGGCGACACGGAGGGATTAACTGTGCTTGAATCACTCTGCAGTAGAGCAGGGACTGGACGCCAAGCTCCTGAGGGCCATTTGGTCCAGTTTGCTCCTTAGGAAGGCAGCTGAGCATGACGCGGCCACGCGACCACGTGGGATACATGGGCTGGCTCCAGGGAGACGCTGCCTTTCACTGGCCAGGCTGCAGGAGAAGCGCTCTGGAGCCCCCTGTGCACAGGCTCTGCTTGTCTTGCCCTGAAGAAAGGTCCTGGGAGGAGGCAGAGAGATTCTCTGATGCAAACTTCCCATTTGCAGTTGGGGTGTCCCTGCTTCTGCCATGGAGCCAGGGTGATATCCCAGTCAGGCCAGCTGTCCCTGGAGCCTGGTCATCCTCTGCCCCTCACCCAGTACCTTCCCCAGGCCACTGGGGCTGTGGGCAGCACCCCCCTCCCAGAACACTCCCCAACTTTCCAAGGGGCTGGGATGCCCCTTTAAGTTCCCACCCCTCACAGTCTCTCCCACTTCAGAAAAGTCCTCTTGCATCCAGAACAGGGGGTGAAATCTCTCACGGTGGGATCATTTCCAGAAGCACCTTAAACATGAACTTGAGGTAAGAACCTCTGTGTATTTCAGTGCTCAGTCCCCACGCTGCTCAGAGGGGAACAGGCTGTGCACCCCCTGGTGGCCCTGCCTCTCCGGGTGCGGGCCTTGTCAGTGCCCACTCCTGTGTGAGAGTCCCCAGCAAAGGAAGACCCCAGGGCACAGAGGCTGTCAGCGCAACCACGGGCCGGGCAACACGGGCCTCCAAGGAAATCCTAGGGTTCCTGCTCCTTCCGAGCCGGTGTCACGACAGCACGGCCCCCTGACGTGGGGGTACAGCAGCCTGCCGGGAGGGCCCGGGAGGCAGTCCTTCAGGGTCTCCACCGGTTCCCGCAGGGTGGAGGGGTGGCTTCTGGGTCACGGTCTCCTCCATGTAGAGCGCTCCCACCTTCTCCTTCCTGAGCACCGCCCCTCGGGGGGAGGAAAGAGAAGGCACCATCAGATTCCAGGAAAACAGATTACACGAGAATCCCCTTCCCACTGCCAACCGCACCCCGAGGTATATTTGGTGGCAAAACCATAGCAGCACAGCCTGGAGACAGGACTGGACGGCAGGCTGATCTGTGCCCACCCTGGGACACGGGATCTCGCCCGCGGGCCATTTGCCCTCAATGTCTGAAGACACTTGGTCGCTACAACCAGGAGAATGCTACTGGTATCCAGTGGGTAAAGGCCAGGGAAGCTGCACAGGATGGGCCCCAACAAAGATTTGGCCCAAATGTCAGCAGTGCTGAGGCTGAGGAGACCCGCCTGAGAAGGAGGCCGGGTCGCATTCGCTGTCTGCTTCAGGTGTGCGAGCCCCTTGTCCCCAGGAGAGCAACTGCAGAAGGGCACAGCTGGTAGCATCTGTCTCCTCCTCCCCACAGGGCTGGTGAAGGACTCTCCTCTGCCCAGCTAGAGGTCAGGGCCACCTGCTTCCTATGGAGCCTGTCAACCCCGAGACCATGCACGGTGACGACCCGGCTCAGAGGCAGAAGCGAGAGTGGGAGCGACAGGAAGGAGACCGCTGGGAGACACCAGGGAGCACGCATGGCGCTGTCTCTGGTGAGGAGACCACGAAGGGACTGGGGGACCTCCATGACCAGCATGTTTCCTTGGTTTTCAGTGACTGCCCACAAAGAGGGCACTTTCTGGCTTCAGATGGTCAGTAAGTTGCCTCCCATGTAATGTAACATCCCCCTTAAGCCTTGTCGCTGGCCCGGGCCCCCAGTCCAGGCCAGGGCCCTCAGGACTGCCCCCTGCCTGGACCACCCCGCCTTCTCCACCAGCACCCTCTTCACAGTCCTCTGCCCTGCACTGACCTCCTCCCTCTCCAACCTCCAGTCTGCACAGCCCACTCAGCATGGGATGTCACTGCCCAGCTGGTCCAGTGGTCTAGTTATCGCCAATAGAAGGCACTGTGTGACTGTCACTGTTCTAAGCACTTTACATGCATTAATTCACTTGGCAGATGACAACCAAAGCACAGGATGATTAACTCGCCCAAAGGCACACAGTGGTTGGCGGTCTGGGGGTCCGCGCCCTCAGCACTGCCCGGGCCTGCAGTGAGTGCCTCACCAGCTGGATCAGGAGCGCCCGGAGGACAGGTGTCCTGTCCTGAGCAGCCCCTGGGAGCAAATGGCTGGGCACACCACAGAAGCTCCACGGGTGCCTCGGGCCCGGCCCGCTGTGATGGTGACTGTATCAGACGCTCCCAGACTTCGAGCTCACACGGGACTGGGAAGACGAGATTCCCTCCCTTCGTTTCCCCACATCCAGGAACCCTGCCGTGTGGACTTACTTGTGTGGGCGTGGGGTGACACAGGGGCGCAGGTGTAGACGTGGCTGAAACGCCGGCCCGAGGAGGTTAGGTACCAGTGCTGGATGGCGGGCTGGGGGTCGAACTCGGCAACCGCCACGCCGTTCACCGCCGTCATCATGAGCGTGCTGAGCACCTCGCTGGACAGCTTGGTCCTCTCATCCGTCCTGATCCGGTTCATGGCCCTGAACCCGCGCTCACAGCAGGAGGTGGAGACGGGCACACAGACCGCCACTGCCACCAGCCTGCTCAGCAAGGGGAAGCGGCAGTGCTGGGCCAGGGTGTTCTTGCACAGCATGGACAATGGCAGGTTCCTGGCCATGGCCTTCAGGCCCAGCCACTCCTCCAGGAGGGCTTGCTCGCTATACCCTGGGGGCAGTGAGAGCTCAAAGTACCTGGCAAGGGCAAGGATATCCTTGTTCCCAAAACTGGCCAGCTCGATGCCACTTGGCCAGGTCACGGTGTCAAACACCTCCATGTTCTTGAGCTGTGGGGGACGGTCTGTGTCAAACCTCTGCTGGAGGTACTGAGTCCCCGTCAGGATCACACGCTCCCTGTCTGCCTGGAAACGCTGCTCCGCCATCTCCATTCTGTCCAAGGAGATGCCATGCAGCCGCCCATCCTTGAAGCTGGCGTTGAACTCTTCCTCTCTGGGCCCTGCCTGGTGACGGAGGGTCTCCAGAGCGACGTAGGCCCGTCGCAGTGTGGCGTTCACCTCTGTGATCAGCACCATCTCCTTCTGGCACACCTCAGACACCGGCCTGTAGATGCTCAGGAAGTCCAACAGGAAGTGGCAGAACTTGACGAAATGGAAGTTCTTCATGAGCTTCAGCATGCCTCTGGCCCTGTGCCCAACCTGGCCTCCGGCCTCCGCCACCTTCTGGAGGTGCCTAGCCAGGGCGGGCCAGCTCACGATGAGCGCGTTCAGCGTGCGCCTCCTGCTGGCCACCCACCTGACCGCATGCAAGTCCTTGAGGCAGCCGATTTCCCGCTCCAGGGCGGCTGCACCTTCCTGCAGCTCCGTCAGCCTTTTGTTTGAGGACTGATAGAACTTGAAAACGGTTCGGATGTGCCGGTCACACTTCTTCACCAGGTCGATGCTCCCGCAGGCATCCACCACAGCCAGGTGCAGCTGGTGGGCCACACAGTGGACAGGTAGCAGCTGGGGGATGAGCTCCTGGAACTTCTCCACAAGGCCTCCCCTGCAGCTCAGCACGGTCGAGCCGTCGGTGCCCAGGCCCACCACCCAGCCGGGCTTCCGGAAGGGGATGTCCAGCTCATCCAGGGCGGAGACGATGGTCTCGAAGTATCCATCCACTGTCTCGCTGTGGAGCGGGGCCAGCGTGATGTAAGACTCCTTCACCTCCATGCCCTTGAAGTAGCGGAGGTAGATGCCCACACAGGCCTGGCCGGGGGCGCTGGCGGCGCTGTCCAGCAGCACGCTCACACAGGGGGAGCTGCGGACGTCCGCCAGGATCCCCTGCCTCAGGGTCTCCGAGATGTGCCTGATGAACTGGGTGCACGCGGTGCGGTTCCGGTACTTGCCCAAAATCACGGTCCCGGTGCTCTGGAGGAGTTGCAGGATCTTCTCGAAGTCATTCAGGGGCCTGGAGTGGTAGGCGATGGAGTAGGCTGCGTTGAAGAAGTGCTCCATGTTGGCCATCAGGTCACTGGAAATCTCTGGGGCGAGGGCAGCCTGAGGGGTGTCCTCCTTGACTTCAATAGTGTTGACGCAGAGCTTGTGTGCTTTGCTGACTTCATGGTATTTTAAAGTCTCCACTTTGAAAGGCCCCGTGTAACCTCGGACTAAGCGCGACGACTTGTCATGGAGACTCGGTCTTTCTTTGCAAGCCGAGCAGAAGAGCTTGGTCTCTTCGGCGTCAATGACTAACCATGGGAACTGCCCAAACCATGCCCTCTGAATCGAGCGGGGTCTGTAAGTCCTCTTGCTTTTCCTCGGCCCACCTGCCTCCGGCCCACCTGCGTCCACGGCACAAAGGCTGGGCCCGCGGGAGGAGGCACACGTCTCTGCAGAAGCCGGAAGCAAGGCGGACGGGACAGCCGCGGCCTGCACACCTGCCTCTCCCGCAGCCACCGTCTTCTCCCCTGGGAGCAAATCACACTGTGCTTGGTCTTGCTGCCCCGAATCTGCAGTCTCCCATCAGCTAAGACTCCCAATGCAGTAAGCACCCTGATGCAAAGCAGAGAGGATGAATGCCACCCACCTTTCTAGAACGTCACTGGCCTCCTCATTATTATCTATGGAAGTCAGTCTGGCCCCCTAAGAGTTGTTTGCTAATCCCTGTGGGTTCTTTCGCCAGCTTCCCCCTCTCTATCCACACCGCAGCCCAGGATCACATGACACCAGCTGTTAATAAGCTTAGTTAACCACCTTGGCCATAGGTGCTACCGGATAGACAGGTGGCTTTAACCCCCTTCTGAGGCATCCCCAAGAAATGAGGTTAAACTTCCGTTAAGTCCTCGTGAGCCTTCGAAAGGAGGGAGGCACAGGAGTGTAAACAGCAGCTACTAGGCCTGACATGTGCAAGAGACTAACCCTCGAGACCAGCAGTGCTAGCCGGAGGAGGAGGGGGAAGGGGGCAGGGCTCACAGGCCGGTGGCACCTGGATCCTCAGAACCAGCATCCCCACACCCCTCCTCCCTCAGCTCTGCCACAGGTCCCTATAGCACTTTGCTCATCAGGGCTCCTATTGTTTGCACGCTGTCCTGGTTCCCCAGTATTCTACACTGAGGGCAGGGCTAATTTCTTACTCATCTCCGTCTACCCAGAGGCTCATACAGGGCCTGGTGCTCAGCAGGTTCACACTAAGTATGGCTGAACTCACACTGTGTGACTTGCCACAGCTACGTGGGCCCCTGGACATGCCCTGCAGAACTCAGTAGGTTAAGACTCACCTGAAGAACGACCTTTCCCCCACTTTGTCCCCTTTGGATCCTTGACCCAGGGCGCAGCTCTACGCTCCAGTTTTGAGATCAAGTCTGGTTTGGCAGCCGCAGGTCCTACTGCAAAGACAGAGAGTCATACTGATGTCACTGCTGTGGACCATCGGGTCAAGTAGCTTTTCGTGGTACCTGAAACAGTCGGGATGCCTCTGGGTCTCTCTTAATAGTCTATTCAGCCAGGGGCACGATGGACGCATCCCCACCTAGGTGCCAGTTTATGCTTAAACCCAACCAGCAGCCAAGTTAGGGTGTATCTGGGTAAATCCGGGGCCAGCCACGTGAGCCCCAAGTCAGCCACATGCATCCAGAGTGGAAAGCATGAGGACAGAGGACCTGGGGGGATAAAGTAGGAGAGAAGACAGGCGCGATCAAGAAAGCCAGACGAGAAGGGGCAGAGTGGCCCCAACAACTGCCCCATGCATGTGCCCCTCAGCGACGCCTCTGGTTGCATGGGTTATTTATTGGGGTACCTGAAAGGCCCCTTAAAAGTGGCTACCACCTGCCACGAAACCTGAAATCTGACTAGAAGAGGGTCATGTCTTTGGGTTAAGCAAAGTGCCCTTTATTTAAAATGTGAGTATTTCTCAGGGGTGTGCAAAGAAATCACTTTCTTGATCTAAATAAAGCCCGTTAGTCTCCACTTGCATGCCTGTGTGTCTGTGCGAATGCCTGCACAAACTTTCTCTGGAAGGACATACAGGCACTGGTGACAGTGGGGGCTCCCGGGAGGGACCAGAGAGCGAGGTCAAAGGGAGAAGACGTTCACTGTTCACCTTCTGGACCACTTGAATGTATGTATATTTACTATACGTGCATGTATGTATCCACACATTTACTACTAATAAAACATAACAAAGTATTAAAGTATGGTGGACTGAAGACATATCCTTCTTAAAACAAGGCATAAGTCCAAGAGAAACCCTGGACTAGAAATGTGAATACATTTTTTGAAGAAGGAAAGATAAAAGAGCAAGAAAACTAACAGAGCTGAACACCAAATGCCGGCAGAGGGGGTGCCGGAGAAGGATGTGAATTTGCCCCAGAATCCTTGGAAGGCTTGGGACCTGGGGGCCCAAGGGCAGCAGACAGGGCGGGAAGGGGCGGAGGGCAGGGGGCGGCTCAAAGTCTGCAGAGACCAGCTTCCCCCCAGGTCTCCTCACCTATTCCAGGAAACCACCCCAGGACGGAGAGAGAGAGAGTCTGCAGAAACATAACCAGACAGGCCTGGACCCTAGGATAGTGAGCAGAGTGAAAGAAAGATGAAGGGTCGCAATACAGATGAGAGACGAAGACAGTCCAGATTCTGGAAGGTGCGTCACTCGGCTCCCCGACCACTGGCTCGGCCTATAACCTCCAAGCAGGGGACAGGAAATTTCCTTTGGAGAAACCGAACTGCCCTCCGCACCTTCTCCTTCCCCACCAAAACCTATGCAGACTGATGTCCGTGGGCTCTTCAGTAAGACATCCAGGTTCACAGCCGGTCACCCCACAGTGAAACAACCCCTTACTGAGCCCCAGCCACACACACAGCTTTTCATCCAGTTTTCCAAAAGGCTTTACTCTTAAATATGTATGAACCTAACCGATGTTTATTTAAGACAACCTCTAACATAAAACAAGTAGGAAAAAGGACGGAAGGAAGTAGAGATAATGCAAGGAGCAAAACAGAACTTCAAAGAAAGCAAAGTAGAATAATCATCTCAGAGAGAAAATTTGTAACAGGCACCCACGAAGGAGCAATCAGGCCCAGAGATTTAAAATGTGACAGAAGAAATTTCTTTTACATGAAAAGGAATTGTTAGAAAATAAAATTGAGGAAACCACTAAGAAAGTACTAGAACAAAAAAAGAAGCAGAAAATAGGAGGGAAAAAAATAAAGACAAAATTAGAGGCTTAACTTAGGAAGTCTAGTATCGAACAAGTAGGACTTTTTGGAAGAAAGAAGAGAAAATAATAGGTGGAAAGAAATGATACAAAAACTGTTTTCCCCCAACTGGAAAAGGGAGTTTCCAGAATTCAGAATCCTGGAATAGATCTTAAAACCTTTCAGAGTAGAAAAACGGGCTGTGTTCAAAGACTTAGAAACAAAAAGGCACTTATACTTCTCAATGGCAACTACAAAACCTAAAAGCAATGCTTTCAAAAAATGATGAGGAAAATTACTTCCAACCTGGAATTCTATACCCACCCAAATTATCAATTGTAAGGGCATTTTCAGATATGTAAGAGTCTTAAAAACATTTCTTCCCATGAGCTCTTTCTTAGAAGGTCACTGGAAGATGTGCTCCAACAAAACAAAGATGTAGACCTGAAAGAGGAGGCAGACCCAGAAAACAGGGGCAAAACAAAGGGCAGTGCGGGGCCACAGCTGTGCAGCAGGCCTGAAGGGTCACTACTTCGGACAGAGGCAGAGGTAGACGGAAGACCCAGGTCGGAAGTCTCCAGACCAAGAGTGAAGCCGATAGGTCACCGGAGTTTGACCATGTGGAAAAGACTCTTCGGAGGACCTGTGGAATTTCACTGGAGAGTTTCAGAAGAACGGATGATAGGACAGAAAACTAGCAAAAGAAAAAAATAAGAAAATTCAGTTCCAGGAGAAAATCCTACAACACAGGAAATATCATAATATGCCACTTTGACCAGAAGTAAATCATACATAATCATAAACAGTTTACACTGAATTAACCAAAAAGTGTGGAGTACCTGTTCTGAGAGGATGGAGGGAAGAGAGTGGGGGCCGGGGGTGAGGTAAGAGGGCCACATCTTCATCTTCCACAGTAGGAATCAATAAATAACATCTAAAATCAATAAATCAGGAATAGCAATAAACATATACAACAGGATATTAAAGTGTGATTCTGTGAGGGTGTTTTGGCTGAAGGCCCCCCAAAACAGGAGCCAACTGTCCCTGTTCCAAAGCTAGACACAGAAGCCTGACGGGGAGGGAAGGGGACCCAACACTGGGCCGTAACCCCGGCCCTCGCCTCGACGTGGGAATCAAAGCACTGGGAGTAACGAGGCCAGGGAGCTGGAGGCCAGAGATGTCTCTGGAAAGAGCTGTGGAGTGCACCATAGCCCCTCCCACATACTGCCACGGGGAGGCTGGGGTGGGCTACTTTCCCTTGACCTTAAGCCTAGTGGGAACGCAACCTGACCTGTCTCTCCTGGGGCCGCGAGGCTGCTCATGAATCCAGGCCTGGAAAAGACTAAAGACAGAAGCTGGCTGGCGGGCTCCTCGGTGGTGGCCGTGCTGGGAAGAGCCCTCCCTGCCTTCCAGGGTTTGCTGGAGCAAAGGATGTGTTTCCCACGGTCCCAGCAGACATGGGCCCCACAGGGGGAGAGAAGAGACCTGGGCCACTTAAAGGGGCTCTGCCCGTGACTGTTCACATGAGAGCCAGGCAAAACCTTTCTTGTACCTCTCCTCCCCACCCACCCACCGCCATTCCCACCCCGGATGTGGCAGAAGTCCTGCAACGAGCTGGGGGGTAGGAGAACTCCTTTCTGCCCACTGCAGGATTCAGATTCTAGACCTGAAGCAGGTTCACATGGGAGAGGCAAGACACGTTAGCTTTGAATGAAAAGCACAGGAGGACCGGGCACACTAGTGCTGGCCCGAGGACGGAGGCCACATGGCAAGGACCTGAGAGCAGCCTCTGGGGGCTGAGAAGGACCCCTGGTCAACAGCCGGCAAGAAAACAGGAACCGCAGTCCCACAACCGCAAGGGACTGGATTCTCCGGCTGGAGACCCTAAGCGGAGCACCGGCTGAGCCCAGGTGACTTCTGACTGACACAAGTCTGGGACAATAAGTGGGTGTGTTTAGCCACTAACTTTGTGGTAACCTGTGGGGAACTGAAAACTAACACGTCTTATATAACCGGAGTATAATGATCAAAATCAGAAAATATAACATTGATATCATACTATTATCTAATCCACAGTCCACAACTAAGGGTTATCCAAATGTCCTGTACGGCTACCCCTCTGTCTCCTTTTCCCAGGCCAGCACCGAATCCAGGATCATAAGCTGTACTTAGTTGGCACGTCTCTCGGGTCCCTTTGCTTTGGAACCGTTGGCAGCCTTTCCTGTCTTCATTTACAGGGCACCCTTCTCCTCTGTTTTCCAGGTTTCAGCACACTGCAGAATTTCCTTCCTTTTAAAGGCTAAAATAATACCCATTGTAAGGACAGACCACACGATCTTATCGCTCACCCACTGATGGCTAGTGGCCATCCTGATGGATGTGCGGTGGTATGTTAGTGTAGTTTTTGTGTGTGTGTGTGTTTTTTTATCCTCACCCGAGGACATTTTTGCATTTATCCTCAGACAGAGCGGGAGGGAGAGAGCGGGGAAGACAGAGGGAAACATCGATGTGAGAGAGACACATCGAGTGGTTGCCACCCACATGACCCCAACCGGGGCCGGGGACAAACTGCAACCGAGATACGTGCCCTTAGCGGGAACCAAACCCAGGACTCTCTGGTCCATGGGCCGACACTCTAACCACTGAGCCAAACAGGCCAAGGCAAGCGAGTGTGGTTTTGATCTGCGTTTCCTTAGCAATCTCACTACCCTGAAAAGAATGCAAATTTCTAGCAACCAAGCAAACAAACTGCTTCTAAGCACCCCCCATGCCCCACAAACAGCTTTGACTGCTGAAAGCCCAGCTTTTGCCCGCACTTGGGTTTGAAGTCTCCCTCTCCTTGAATAGTTCCTTTCTTGCTCAGTAGAACGTTCCTATCAAAGGAAGCTCCCGGATTTTCTTTTGACAACCCAGAGGGTGAAAAGGAAAAGGCCCACACAGCTGATTGAAACAGGTGGTGAAGGAAAAGAATGAAACTGTTTTATGAGTACATCCTACAGAATTTCACTCTTTCAAAAATAACGTCTACACGTGGTTCTTAGAAATAACGAGGCAAATTACACTAGAAGAAACAGCGGAAAGGTGTGGGGAGGGCTCAGCAACAGAGAGGCGGGCCAGGGGACTGTAATGTTGTTTCTTACGTCTGACTAGAACTACTGGATTAGAAACACGCGAGTATGAAGAAATCCCTTCAGAAGTGACTGAGAGCACAGGACACTGGAAGCCCCTGGATCTGTCTGCCTCGGTTACGTCCTTGGGGTCGGCCACCTTCCAAGAGCCCCAGCACAGACACACGGGGCTCAGGAATGTGTACCCCGGTCGCACCTCCTTGAAGCCCTTGCTGAGATGTTGCCAGGAACCTTTTTCTTTTTGTTCCCTTCAGAACAAGTGAGACAGAAGGGAATTTCCAAACAGAGCTTTCTGTCTTAGCAATAGAAGAATGACCACGGGGACATAACTACAGTCACACGTCGCTTAACGATGGGGACATGCTCTGAGAACGCGTTGTTAGCGATTTCGGTCCCGTGTGCACCTATGCTCACAAGGCTCCTTACAATGCGTTTATGTTACAAGCATGGAAAATTGTTGAACTTGGAAGAGAATTAAAGGATAACAGCTGGAGACTTGACTAAAGTAACGAAAAGCAATCGTATACCTGCAATTCGGTTTCTAGACTCATGTACCTGTTTCAACATCACAGACACTGACGAGGACAGCCCTGTTCCCATAAAGCCTTCCCTGATTCCTGCCCCAACCCTCAAGCAAAACGAATTACCCTTGCCCTGGCCAGCTGCTCAGTGGTTAGAGCATCGGCCTGTGGACCAGAGAGTCCCGGGTTCGGATCCCGCTAAGGACACGTACCTCGGTTGTTGTTTGTCCCCGGCCCCGGTTGGGGCCGTGTGGGTGGCAACACTCGAGGTGTCTCTCTCACTTCGATGTTTCTCTCTCTCTCTTGCCCCCTCTCTCCCTCCCACTCTGTCTGATTACACTTTTTGTCCATCCAAAAAAAATTTAACCAAGACTGTCCCTTAGTTTCTCCCAGTTAGCTAAGATTTTTCAACCTTTTAATTTATGAATGTTAAAAAGAAAATAATAAAATTCTTAGACCACAAAACTGAAGCACAGGCTGAACAATCTGCATCGGTCACGTGCGGCGCCCTGGTGACCCTCCGCTCCCACCGGAACTTTCCACGGGGTCTGACGGGTAGTGGTATCGCCACTGCTCATCCCTTTAAAGGAAAAGCCAGCTTCTTGCATGTGGGTATGTATTCGAACGTCCCCTCGTTCCCACTGTAGGTGGCAGTGAAGCTCTTTGAAGGTGTGCCCTGCACGGGGCCCTGGGCCTCAGACATGATTATAACGAAATAAACCAGTATTTACACCGCATTATTTACGTGGCGAACAATTATTTCCAAACAATGAGAAAAGTAAGTATATAGGCCAAGAACGTTTAGAAAAGAATCGGTGTCAGCTGCACGCGGAAGGACAGTGTAGACGGGGAGGCCACCACACCGATTAAGTCACAGACAGTCTGACTCCTGATTCTGTAGAGGCTGGAATGCCGAGGCCACACAGCAACCTGTTCTGCAAGGTCTCTGTGACCACGTATGCGAGTAATAAATGAAATAAGTAAACCTTTTATAACATGAAAAGCTGCCTTTCTGTTTTGACGCCTGCGGACCCTGCATGTTTCACAGGAAAGGGAGGCAGAGGGAAGAACAAGAGGCAGATGGAGCGGACGGCATTCTTCCGGGAAGGCAGGAAACACTGTGACCTTCATCCTTCTCCAGGCCCAGTCTAGAGGGCCAAGACCACCAACCTTGCTGGCCCTGGAGAGACAAGGCAGCCTGGGCACAGACAAAGTGCAGGGCACGAGCCACCTGGAGGCCGTTCTCGCCTCCTCACCTTTGCTGTCCCCTCCCTGTCCTGTCTGGATGCCCCTCCTCCTCCCTGTCAGTGGGTTTTCAGCTCAGTGAAAACATTCTGTACTCAGTAAAGACTGCTGATCGCTCTCTGATGCCAGCAAAATCAAGTCCCTCTTCTGCGCAGCCCGGGGATAGTTTTCCTGAACCGCTTTTATGAAGCTTGTGTTACTTTAGCTTCTTATTAAAGGATCTGTCTCTCCACAAACCTGCTAGCCCCTTGAAAGCAGAGACCGTGCTCCGACCTTGAAAGCAGAACACGTCCGGTTCACCGGGCACCTAGCAGGTACTCAGTAAGTTCCTGGTGGAGGATGGGTGGAAAAGGGGTGAAGAGGGGATCGAGTACAGTATCGCAAAGCAGGGGGCGCTCCAGGGTGCAGAAGACAGACTCGCTCTGCCTGCGCACAGGGAAGGGGTGGGAATGGGAAGATGACCACAGACACAGCTGTCCTTCTGGGGGCCCCACGCCAGCTGATGGTGGTGAACAAAGGTCGACGTGAATCTTTACCCAGGGAGGCCAGCAGCTCGTAGTTCATCTGCATCACGTCTCTGTACAGCTCCTTCTGCCGTTCGGCTAGCACGCCCCACTCCTCCCGGGTGAAGTACACTGCCACCTCCTCAAACTCCACCGGGAGCTCCTCCCGCAGCCCCTCTTCAGGAGGACCCTGCAACAGAGAGCAGCCGTCACTGTCACTCGGTGCGCTGACATCAGTCGCCAGCAGGACCAGGTGCCTCTCAAGGCCCGCGTCTCCTGGGAAGCTCATCAAGAGGCCAGATGTACTCTGAGGAACTAATGTATCCCTTGAAAGTCAAAGAAGCAAACTGGTGAGGCCTGAAATTAGTGGGTAAAACCCAAATGAGCCTCAGTGGGATCTGAGGGTCTCCTGGGAGGAAATACAAATGCACTGGAAGAACAGGGGTCTTGGCAGAGCCTCATGGCTGCACCCCGTCTCCTCCAGTCCTGAGGGGTGCCCTATACTCATCCATGACTATAAAGGTGACCTCTGCCTCTAGGATCACCTGCTGAGATTTCCCCCGGGGTGGAAAGGAAGTAGTAGAAAAGAACTAGATATGCTCTATTCGGCAACTTGGTTTACACACGCCTTACTGCTACAGGAATTCAGATTATAAAAAGCTAGGCCTGCTTGTTAGCTTGTAATACTAAAAACTGGAAAAACTATGAACATGAAGAGAAATAAGCCTTGTCACTTTTCTGGATTCTGGAAAAATTCAAGCTTACAAACTTTAGCTGAGCCCTTCCGATGTTAGGTATAAAGAGCATCTGAGCTATCCCCCTTGGCGCTAGAGGGGTTACCCAAAAAGACCTGCAGCAGAATCCTATGGATACGGGATAGTGACAGGTGGGGAAGGTTCTCGCTACTCAAAATTCCAGTTGACACAGTCTCCTCACAGGCCAACTTTCCAAAGACTGAGAAGATTCCAAATAAACCTCAGCTGAGAACCTGTCTCTAGGACCTACGAGAGCTGCAGGGAGTGGAAGGAAGCGCTGGGCGGGCAGCCAAGGCCCGAGGGGGGTCCACCCCGAGAGCCCGAGAGCCCGAGGGCTCCGGATGCACACTCCCAACAAGATGAGTTCCCCCAGACTGCTCCCCCAGCCTCGCAGCAGCACGAAAATCACTCCACGGAAGGACGCTGGTGAAGGGACTTGGCAGTGTTCAAAAGTGCTACGTGATTCCAAAGTTCAAGCTGAAACAAAGATTTTAATTTGCTTATTTAAGCACACTGCAATTGCTCTGTGTTGTGGATTACTGACTGAGTTGAGCTCTGTGGTTGTTTGGGATTCTGGATAAAGACTACTGTTCTGAATCTAGGTGCCTCCCTTCTATCAGAAGGTAGAATGTTCTTTCTGTCCCACTCATTGTTTTGTCATCTGCAAAAAAGAAATGATAATAATAGGGCTACTGTCTTAAATAAACGAGATAATACGTGTATAGCACTTAAAGCAATGGCTAAGACATGACAAGCATGTTAGCTTATGATACCATTAGCAACAGGTGAGCTAACAGGATTTTTCCATCATCATGATGCAACATATGTTGTTCTCAGTATGGAACCCTCCCCTGGAGAATCAGCAACCATTATGAACATATTACCTGGCTACGGGGTTCAGCAGCGGTATCATGCACAACGTTAGAGTCGGAGGAGCGGGAGACGTCATGTGCAGTTTGTTTCTGCCTCAGATGGGAAATGCAGTCTAGATACAAGGCAGGAAGGACTCCATGCCCTTCAGGGTCCTCCAGTTCAGCTCCTGAGCTGGGCAGAAACCGGGCCACGTCACCACAGGCTCCCAGAGGTCCTGGTGGGTACAGGATGGAATCATCTGCAGGGAAGGGGTGCTCTGGGCTGGCATCTCGGATGCTCTGGAAACGGGCTGCCCAGATGGGGTCCCGTGCTGACAAGGCCTCGACGCAGAACAGGTGAGCTTTGCTCTTGGCGTGATATTTGAGAGTCTCCACCTTGAACGGTCCTGTATAACCTTCTACCAGTCTGGACCTTCGGTCCCGGACAGACGGATATTCTCGGCAAGCAGAGCAAAAGAGAGCTGTCTGCTCCTCGTTCACAACCAGCCACGGGAACTGTGCAAACCAGGCCTTCTGGATGGACCGGGGTTTCAAGGGCCGTTTGCTTTTTCTGGTACAATCTTCCTCGATGGTGCCACTCTCGGTACCGAAGTGGGAAAGACAAGCTTTCTTCTGAGGGGACAGGTGTGGTCCAGAGTCTCTGGCTGGCCCGTGCACGTCCATTTCTTCCACGTAGCCCATCTTGTTTTCTCCTTTGGAGAAAAGTGACAAATGGAATTGCCCTGAAGTCCCGTAGTTAGGGCCAGTGCCACTCATGGAGTTTCTCAGATACGTCAACTACGAAAGCTGGAAATCACACGCCCAAGGGACAGCCTCTACTCGCGTCCTCTCCCTTCGCCCCCAGCGCCCCAGGCCCGCCTCACCGTGCCCAGGAGGAAATCCAGCGGGCTTTAAGCAAACTTTTTTTTAATTCAAAGGTCAGACACACCTGGCCAAAAGGAGATGTGTGCAATTTGATCTCTGCAACCTGAGACAGTGGCACGATCTTCAGGGCTTCAAACTTACTTATAGACAAGAAAACGAACTAACAGAACGTAGGGTTAAGAAAGGTAATTAAAGCCAAATACAGGCTCAGAGATCCTGCAGGTTCGGTTCCAGGCCATGGCAAGAAAGCGAACATCACAAGAAAGCCAGCCACAAGGATGATTTGGTTCCCCAGTGCACATAAAAGTTATGTTTGCACTATACTGCAGTCTGTTAAGTGTGCCATAGCATTATGTCTAAAAACGTACACGCCTTAATTAAAGAATACGTTATTGCTAGAAAAACAGCAAGCCAGCCATCACCCGAGCCTGCTGGGAAGAGGGCGCTGAGAGGCCCGCGCGGGGCAGGACTGCTCCGCGCTCAGCGTGCACCCAACCACAGTCCGCCGAGCGCACCGACGCGAGGTTTGCCCGCACGCCACGGCACGCCAGGGGTGCCCTTCCACGGGGCCCTCTGACAAACAGGCACCTGCACTTGGCTCAAGTACCTTTGGGGCAAGAGAATGACCCACCTCCTGGGCAAACAGCTTTAGTCCCAGAGTCTCCTTAAGCTACAATCCATCTTGGTGTAACTCCCACCTTGGGGGCAACTTCAGCCTCAAGAGAAACCAAGTCCATTCCTCTCTCACACAACCCTTGACAGAGGTGGAAACCCTCAAACCTCACAAAGATCTCCCTTCTTCAAGCTAAATTTAGAAGTTTCTTTATTTGCTCTTCAGTTGAAACGCAACTTGGACGCCTCGAACCCCTCTGGAGCCACTTCTGAAACCTCAGTGTGAGTACTGATGCCCAGGGAACAAGAACTCAACAATATTTGCTCCAGGTCACGGGGCCAGTCTACAGAACTGTAGCCAGCCCAGGAGCACAAAGCTGCGAGTCAAGAGTCAGGCATGGAGAACAAAACAAACAGTATCAAGAAGTCTAGGGCTCCTGTGGCCCATGTGAGAGAGCAGGAGGATCACAGGTTCTGTGATTCGATTCACAGAGGAGCCTGTTCCCACCCCCCCTCCTACAGGAGGGCTGGGTTAACTCAGTCTCTTATACAATGACTGGATGTCACCTGGCCTGGCTCTGCTCGAGCCAAGCCAATCCCCGACAGAACAGGCTTATCGGAGGAAGGAAGCAAAGCTAAATCCTTAGAACTTAGTAGATGGCTATTCATCCATCTATCCATTCAGTGATTACCCATTGTGCAACTCCTATGGGCCAGGCATTATTCTTGGCACTGGGAACACAGTAGTAAAGAAGACCAGGTCATACCTTCATGGAACTTATGTCGGGAGAAGTATGCACATTTTAGTTAAGGAAGCTGGAGGAAGAATAGCATTCATGTGTAAGCTGGTCGAGAGCAGGGAGAAGCACAGGCGGAGACAGGGGTCTTCTCTCCAGCTAAGCTCCCCACACCCCGGTGCGGGTCCACACTCACCTGGGTGGTGGCTCAGGAGACTCCTCTGGCCCTGGACCTTGCCTCGCCATGGTCGACACCCTTGCTCAAACTTACAGAACAGCTCTGCGTTAGCAATAGTTGGTCCTGAGTCAGGAAGAGAGAGAAGCACATAAGATCTTGGATCTATATCCAAGGTCATAGATCACATCATTAAAGGTCTGTCTGACATCCACTCGACATTATAGGATAATTGGTTAAGGGGGCAAGTAGAACCCCAATGGTTTAGCATAGTGGCTTAGAAATGCAGGTTATACGTGAGACCCCTAAAAGAACAGGGGACCAGTGAAAGCAATGAGGGGCATAGCAAGGTATGAAAACTGTTGGTTCAGAACAGAGGCTCCAACTCAAAAGGCTGAGAGGGGCCAGACTGACAACACAGCTGAGGACACTGGCCGACCATGATCCAGGACAGCTGCGACTCTGCTCCAGGAGGCCACCATGAGGACGCAGGTCAGCACTGCTGGCTGTCCGCTTCGCAAGAGAAACCGGAAATCTGTAGTTTTATGTGAAAACTCCCGTGAGCTGCTACTTTGCAACTTCTGGTTTAGAAAAAGCAGTGGTTTTCAAAGTGTTTTAGCACAGGAAGGAGACCCAACCCAGCTACAATCCCTCCACCTACAGAGAGTGGAGACTGTCTTTTTCTTTTCTTTTAAAGGTTTTTATTTTATTTATTTTATTTATTATTTTTTTTATCCTCACCCGAGGACATTTTTCCATTTTTTGTTCAGGTAGAGTGGGAGGGGGAGAGAGAGAGAGAGAGAGAGAGAGAGAGAGAGAGAGAGAGAGAAACATCGACGTGAAAGGGACACACTGAGTGGCTACCACCCGCATGACCAAACCAGGGCCGGGAACAAACTGCAACTGAGGTACGTGCCCTTGGGAACCGAACCCCAGTCTCTCTGGACCGCAGGCCTACGCGCTAACCGCTGAGCCAAACCAGCCAGGGCAAGAGACCGTCATTTTCATAACCTTAGACAGGGACCAAGACGAAAAGAAAAAAGGACAGGCAGGCAGACGGCCATCGAGCTGCCATCAGAAGACAGTGCCCCTAGGTAGGCATGCTGACATGGTACAGACAGTCCACCCATAGAAGCAGAGAAAAAACATTCAGAAAACAGAAAAGATGAAAAATACCTACATGGACATACGTTTTAAGTTGTTTTATCTCTATGGCAACCCTGTGAAGAGGGAAATCAAGGCTGAAAAAGGCTGACGGGCTTGGTCATAGCAAAGTCATAGCAATATCACGTGGGACAGCTGGGACGGAGCCCCGATTTCCACACTCTTTCTACCACCGTGCAGCCCAACAGACCACAGGTGGCGCTTCCCACCTGGCAACTGGGATGCCCTGAGGCATCACGGTCTACCCTTTACATGCCCAATTTTCCCCGCTTCTCTTGGCCAATTTCAAGGGCGAAGAGAAAGGGTGGTGAGTGGTCATGAGCAGCGGAGACATTGGAAATGAGACTGAGCAGAAACAAACAGCACAAAGATGCCTGGAAGAAAATGGAAGGGTCCCAGAGCACTCTCAGGTGTGTCACAGTCAGATGCAGCTGGGAACGCCGATCCACTCACTCGGGTGGGGGGAGTGAACAGGAGCCCATACCCAGGGGTGCAACCAGCTCCTCAGAACCACAGATCTCCTGCCGTTGCTGACTCAGCAGCATCCACTCCTCCTGAAGCAAGTACAATGTGATGTCGTCAAACGTCACAGGAGCCTGAAAGGAAAGAAAATGACACCAGCTTAGGACCAACTTTATCCTTAGATCAGTCTTCCGCACCTGTGTTCACGGCTGCCTGAGGGCAACCCTACTCTGGGAGCGTATCAGATTAGGGGAGGGGGCACATCAATCAACATAAAAGGCTACACTGGCCAGTCTTGCTCAGTGGTTAGAGCATCGGCCTGGGTTTGATTCCAGATCAAGGGCACATACCTTGGTTGCAGGTTTGGTCCCTGGCCCCAGGTCTGGGGTCTTACAGGAGGCAACCCGTTGATATGTCGCTCTCACATCAATGTTTCTCTCTCTCTCTCCCTCCCTCTCTAAGAATCAATGGGAAAATATCCTAGGGCGAGGATTAAAAACAAAGACGACACTGCATGTCTCACCACCTGGGTGCAAGCCACAGTGGCAGTGAGGTTCACTCTCCCAGGAAGGGCCACACACTGAAACACGAGTCATAGCGAAGGCAGGATCGGGAGCTCCACGTCCTTTCCCGTGGGCTCTTCATGGGCTTCCCACGGGAGCTGTTACTTAGCCTCGGCGACAACTCGGGCCACATGCTTTTAAAACGTATTTAAATGTACTGATTGATTTGAGAGACGTCAGTGTGTTGTTCCACTTATTTATGCATTCATTGGTTGCTTCTTGTATGTGCCCTGACCGGGGATTGAACCCTCAACCTTGGTGTACTGAGATGATGCTCTAATCAACTGAGCTACCAAGCCAGGGCCTCAGGGCACATTCTTTTGCAAACTTGAACAATGTAAATCTTCCCTGAGGAAGATGTACCTGATTTCTAGAAAGAGTTGAAAGTCATATAGAACTATGTCTGAACGAAGTTGATGAGCAAGACAGGCAAAGCTATGGAGCTGAGAGCCACATCCCAGCTCTGTTCCACCAGAAAGGGTTTCGGGGGGTTCAGGTGATGATTTGGGGAGTTCTGGATTAAGTCGGCAGATTCAACAAGTTTACTGAATTTTGCTTCCTCCCGGTAAATTTAAAAGACACCCCCCCTGTCAAAACCCTCAGAAACAAAAACACCCACTAGGATGGGGAATACGAGGGGACAACAGCAATACGATTTTCTGGGAAGCAGATGGAAGAGCAATAACGGAGCCGATCGCAGAAAATGGAACCTCACCCAGCAGTCGGGAAACTGAGAAGCAACCCAATTTCTACCACTAACTCCTCAGAAGGCTCCGGGTCTGGCGACACTGGGAACCTCTGGCCTGGGAATGAAGGCAGCGAGGCGAGAATCCTAAGAATCTGGGGGACATCTGTTCCCCTCGAGTCCCCTACAAGAGGCAGTAAGGTGACACAGCGGACAAGGCCTCCCTTCCCAGCACTCAGAGCTCCCCCTGCGGAGTGCCAGCCAGCACTGGGCCTCCGGACTTCTGAGGATGGCTCCAACAGGGCAGACAGAGACCAGGAGGGGGGGGAGGGGCACGAGAGGAACCGAAAAAATGGAGGTGAGGCATGGAGGAGAAGTTTACAAAATCAAAACTATCCCTAATCGCATCAGAGAGGCACGATGTCATAGCCATCAAATACGCAGTTATAGAAGAAACCACCTGAAAAGGAAATACTCTGAAAAACTTGCTGTTTATCCTTTTAAATTTTAAATATTTTTTCTTTATTGATTTTAGAGAGAGGAAGGGAGAGGGAGAGAAAGAGAAACGTTGATGAGAGAGAACATCAATTGGCCGCCTCCTGAATGCCCCCCACTGGGGATCGGGCCCAAAACCTGGGCATGTGCCCTGACTGGGAATCAAACCGGCGACCTCTTGGTGCCTGGGTCCATGCTCAACCACTGAGGCACACCGGCTGGGCTATCCTTTTAAATTTTATACGATGAACATTCATCAGTAGTCAAAGAAATAAAAAATAAAATGATCAACAAAAAATAAACTCCCCACCCCCAAAGAAAGAGAGTACTTGGGGAAATAGCATCTTTGGTGTAAGTCCTTCCAAAGTGGTGATTCTGAAGAGGACACCCTCCTTTCCATTTATAACAAGTTCTAATAGGTTTGTTTAAAATTGCCTTGTACAGGGTGGGGGGGCAGGATGGGGAGGAGGGTGTCCAGGGGGAAAAAGGAGAAACATCTGCAACAAAAATAAATTAATAAAAATTGGGGAAAAAATGCCCTGGCCGGTTTGGCTCAGCGGTTAGAGCATCACCCTGCGGTCCTAAGAGACCTGGGTTCGGTTCCGGCTGGGGGCACATACCTCGGTTGCAGTTTGTCCCCGGCCCTGGTTGGGTCGTGCGGATGGCAGCCACTCGATGTGTCCCTTTCACATCGATGTTTCTCACTCTCTCTCACTCTTCCTCTCTCTCCCTCCCACTTTATCTGAACAAAAAAAATGGAAAAATGTCCTCGAGTGAGGATAAAAAAAAAATTGGGGAAAAAAATAAAAATAAATAAAATTGCCTTGTAACTTTATACTCAAATTTCAAGCACATGAAATATCTATTTTAACTTTCAAAGCAGAAGTTTCTTGAGAAAAATCATACAAATAATTCTTATCAGTCACTACTAAATTATATTAAAAAATTATTTTTCTTTATTGATTTTAGAGAGATGAAGGGAGACTGAGATAGAAACATCAATGAGAACATCAATTGGCTGCCTCCTGCATGCCCCCCACTGGGACAGGTTAAAAAAAAAACGTATGGATCAAGGACAGCAGGGCTCCCTGTGCATTCCCACCCACCCTTCCTTCCCAGGGAACAGAGGGGCATAATGAAATGAAAGCCAATCAACCCATCACTTCAGCTTATGAAGAGTAAGGCCAGGACCAAATGTTTAGATAACAAAGTGTCTTGCCTACAAGCGTAATTACCTAACCCTGGTACTCCCTTTTAAGCAATATAATGGCAAGAGCCTTCTGATTCCAGTTGACTGCAATGTAAACACATCTGCTCACATAGTAGGAATCCCTTATCTACATATAGTGCAAACAGTATCTCCAGATGTTCTATTTTAGTGATTCCCACTGTCTGTAGGAAACCGCTCTGACTTCTCAGCCCCTTCAGCTAAACCTAACCGACATTCCTAACCTCAGCTCTATGACCGCCCCACCTGGAGCCTCTACCTCAGCTGTTAGTATAACTGTGATCACTCAACAGACCTTGCAGCTGGCCCCCTTCTACACACCCATCTTTAGATTACCTGACTCAGCCCATTTCCCCCACCTACTACTAAAGTCTACCCCCTCATCAAATTCCCATTCGCGTTAAACCTCTATCATGAGGGAGTTCCCAACCATCTAGCCCAAGCACTGCCCTTCCCCTGAGCCAGAATTCATATGCATCATGGAGCCTGGCACTCAGCACCATATCACACACAAAGTATTTCACAGGCACTGAATTCATTTTTTCATTCAACATACATTTATTGTCTTTATATGCTTGGTACATGGTGATCCTAATTTATGAAAGTCACTCTCTACTGTCAAGATTAAAATCTACCAGGAGGTGACAGACAACTATAAATGCAATAATAGAACTGTGTCCAGAGAAAAATGAGGAGTGATGACTTCTATGAGGAAGTCAGAGGAGGCTAGGAACAAGAAATGTTGAAGGAAGGAATACATACCCAAAGCACCAACAAAACTCTCCCCAAGGGCCCATGAGGTGTCAGACTTCGGGGTTCTTCAGAGCACCCACACCTTGTAGCAAAAGGGCCCCTGTACTAAAGCTATTTTAGAAGCTGTTCATTCAAAAAATACTTTCTGATAACCTATTAAATGCCAGGTACTGCTCCACTGTTCTAGCTGGGGATATAGCGGCGTAAAGTCGGCAAACATGTAAATAAATAAATAAATGTGAGAATTTTGTATAGTGATAAAGGCTGGAAAGAAAATAAAATAGGACAATGGGGAAAAGTCTGACCTTTATCCCTTATTCTGCCAATAAGAGAGGGAAGATACCCCACACCCAATCCTATGGACCAAGATTGCTGTTAATAAATATCTCAAAATAGCCCCAAGGAAGATAACCCTGTTTCCCAGCTTGTGAACCAAAACATTTGGAAATGCAGCTTTGGAATAGGCCTGTTATTGTCACTCGTTTGCAACACATTTTACATTGACAGTTTGTTTTGCAATCACTTTATTTCATCTGTGGATGACTCTGTCATTTCCCAGGTTAGAAAACGGATACACTTGATGGGCATCTTACTGAGATGACCTGCAATCAAGATTAGAGCCAAGAGTAACATTTCCAGCCCCCAGCATTTTCAATTAGTGGTTGGGCCCAAAAAGGCCATCAAATTACTCCTCTACTTCCCAAAATATTTCTACTTCTCTTCTCCCCTTAAAGGCTAAGAAAGCCTACAACTGAACAGAATAGGCTGGAAATCAATCTCAAATCACTAATTCCAGTTCTCGAGGCCAAATGTTTATAACCCTTCTTCCCCTCCTTCAAAATCAGGTACAATTTAAACTAACTAGGGATATTACCTGAAGGTGAGGGCCATTGCCTTTATTTTTCTGGTATCCCCTTAACATGAGGCTGGCACACAGTTCACCTTCAGCCTTTTAGCTGGGTTCTGTTGAGCTTTATTGTCTTGGACTGTTTATTTTGTAGGTTTCATCTGGAAAAGGCATCCCTGTAGCTTGTGGAGGGGAAGGAGTATGGAAGAGAGGAGCTTTAGCAAGGAATAATGTCTTCTGTAATTCAGTGTCCTTCCCAATCTTTCCAGGAAAAACCTACAGCATCAAAATACCCTCCTTATCCTTCTCTCTTTCGTCTGTGGGACACCCCCTCCAGGCCTGTCCAAGTTACTGAAGTGAAAGTCGCAGGAGAGCTCTTGGAGGAAAGTGATCATTTCCTATTTGCACCTGTACTTCCAGCATCCTGCTCAACCTCAATCACAGGTCACAAGCGTTTATTAAAGGAACAACACAAGGTTTTTTAAAGGAAGGGTTCAGCACTCGAAAACGTCTGTCCAGGGGTATTCCCTCTGTGCCAATGAAGAAACAATCTCTAGAATTGGCAGCAAAAAGGCAGCCAGAGAGATCTTAGACCCGAGTGGCTGCCATGGTCCCCAGGTCTTTGCTGACACTCCCTCGGAGCTCCAGCAACCTTGTCAAACTTTGGGGCACTTCCCCCCACCTTTTCTTCCAACTCACAGCCTCCGGCCCAAAGCCTGAAGCAAGTTTATGGAATGTGACTCTGGGCCATGCTCAGGCACCCCATGAGTAGATATTAAGTCAGACACAGACGTCAGGAGGAAATAAGCCAGATGCCTTCTCTTTTACTTTCCAGCACTCTCTTGGGAAGAGATCCGGGCAGATCCCAGCCGCCCTGCCTCAGTGATCTCCATGGCTCGGCTCCCACTGCGTCTCATCCCGCCTCCACGCCTTAAAACAAGCTGGGTGTGTTCAAAACGCCAACGTTGTGGAGAAGCAGAAAGCACTGTTCCGTCAGTGCACTGCGGGACCCCACCCCAGCATCCACCGAGGGCGGGCGGTTCGGCCAGGGGCGACCCAGGGGCACCTGGGGGCTGCGCGGGGCTCGGAGCGGGTGCGGCCGCTGATGCCTGCGCAGTCCGCCCGAAGGCAGCGCCCAAATGCGGAGGAAGAGGCGGCGGGCGGGCGGGCGAGTCCTCCCCTGCAAGGCTGGCTCCTCTGCAGGGGCTCCGCCCTCACCGCCCGCCTCGCCGGAGCCCAGGTCCGGGATCTACGGAAGGGGAGCGGGAGGCCCAGGGCCCTGTCAGGCCTACCTTCCCCGACTCCCTGGGCTCCATGGCCCCGCTTTCGGTGACCTGTGCTGACCCCGCCACTGCTTCCAGGCCGCCCCCTCCCCCCGCGGACTGGCCTGAGCAAGGCGCCGCCGCGGTCACCTTGGGGACCGGGGCCCCGGGACCCCCGGAGGGGCGGGGTCCCCGGCGGGAAGGGAGCGCGAGCCTCTCCCACGTTGTGGGGCGGTAGCCTTCTAGGATCCTGGAGAGGCGCACAGGGGGGACCAGAGTCGTGCTGAGCGAACCACTTTACGGCAGCCGCGTAGCCCGAGAGGCGGGGCATCACGGGAAGCACAGTCCGGCCTCCAGAACTGCTATTGGCTGTCGCAATGCGGGGTCCTGATTGGACGCCGAGCTGCTTGCTGTCGGCCCGTCCCGCCTTCCTCCCGCGTGATGAGAACGAGGTAACGTCCCCAAGATGCGCTCTCGGACCCTGCAGTAAGGGCACAGCGCTCAGATTGGGCTGTGAGATCTCCTGTTCTTGCGCCTGTTTTTCTTGCATTTTTAGGGCCATTGTCACCCTTGAAGGTTCCAAACTGTATTTAATCAAGGAGGGCAATACTTTGTCTTACACTCGTGCAGAAAGCATCACCGGTTGCCTACCATGTGCCAGGGAATACATAGTTAAATGAAACAGAACGCGTAGGCTATTGGGGAAACAGACTAGAAACGTAATTACAAAATAAAGAGACAAGTGCAATGAAAAGGGTAAGCAGAGGACCCAATTAAAGCACAGTGATGGGGAGATATGGGGTGGTCAGTCAAGGATTCCTGAGGAAGAGGTGCCTGAGCTGAATTAAAACGGGGTAGGAATTAGCCAAGTAAAGGAGGTGCTATGAATGGGTTGTGCCAGCTCCCACCATTCATATGTTGAAGGGAGTAGTAATTAAGGTTCAGACTGACAAACTTCAGAGAGGAGGGCGAGGGGGAGGGATGAGATAAACCAAAGAACTTGTAGGCATGTAGGCATAACCAGTGGCCATAGACAACAATGCTTGGGGGCGGGGGATAGGGAGGAGGGTGTCTGGAAGGAAAAAGGAGAAGCATCTGTAACAAAAATAAATTAAAAAGAAAACAGACGTTTAAAGAGGTCATGAGGGTGGGGCTATAATGATGGGATCAGTGCCCTTCTATGAAGAGACACCTGGCAGCTTACTCTGTTCGTCATGTGAGAAAATTGTGGAAAGGCAGCTGTCTGTAAGCCAGGAACAGAGTCCGTCCTAGCCCCTGACAATGCTGGCACCTTGTCCTCAAACTTCCAGCATCCATAACTATGAGAACATTAATTTTTGTTGTTTAAGCCACCTGGTCTATGGATTTTGTTATGGCAGCCTGAGCCAGCTAAGACAGGAGAGGAAGGAAGGTGTGGTTAGGAAGGTCAGTTGGGCATAAGAACAAAGCCAGAGAGGTGAGCAAATGGTGTGTTCATGGACAGTGTGTCAGCCAGGAAGTTATGGGAAATGATGCTGAAGAGATGGGGAGGGGCTGGATGTGGAAGGCATTGTAGTTGCTACCTTAAGAGTTTGAAATGAGTTTTAAACTGGTGAATGGTGTAGGCTAATTTGCAGAGTAGAGGGTGAATTCAAAATGGAAAAGACTAGGAGAGAGAAGACCAAACTCTATAAATGTGTATTTGCTCTCCTTTCTTCTCTCATACTCTTTAAAATTATATAAACTAATAATTATAATGCTCTATTATTTAGTTATATGTATAATAACAGTCAAATAGTGTGCAGTATAGTGCAGAAATCTCAAGTGTACAACTCTATGTATTTTTTTTTTAATAGAGTGGGAGGGAGAGAGAGGAAGAGAGAGAGAAACATTGATGTGAAAGGGACACATCGAGTGGCTGCCACCCGCATGACCCAACCAGGGCCGGGGACAAACTGCAACCGAGGTGCATGCATGCCCTTAGCGAGAATTGAACCTGGGTCTGTCTGAACCACAGGCCAACGCTCTAACCGCTGAGCCAAACCGGCCAAGGCACAACTCTATGTATTTTTACATGTGTACCATGTAGCCACCACACAGATCAGATATAATAAGTTTCCAATACTCCAGAAAGTTCCCTTGTGGCCTTCCCAGTATGTATACACATAGAGGTAAAACAACAGAAAGTAAATAAGTGATTATTATAAAGGTCTCAATAAAATTAACTTTAGGAGGCAGTTGTGGTTGGCAGGGGATAGTGGAGGGTGGGGTGAGAACAGTGTTCTACCTCTAGACCTCGATGGTGGTTACCCAGATGATTGTCTTCCAATTATTTATTAAATTATACATGTATGTCTTATGCAATTATATGTATGTGTGTTTTAAGTGGTACAGTCACTTTGGGAAACAGTTTGGAAGTTTCTTAAAAAGTTAAACATACACTTACCATATGACCCAGCAATTTCCACTCCTATGTATACACCCGAAAGAAATAAAAACATACCCCTACAAAGGAATGTTCGTAATAGACAAAAAGTGAAACCATTCAAATGGCCATCCACTGGCAAACGTGGATTACTATTCAGCATTGAACAAGCTGCTGTACATACTACAATGTGGATGAACCTCAAAAATCGTGCTGACCAAAAGAAGCCAGACATGTACATGAAATGTCTAGAAAAGGCAAATCTACTGATAGACAGCAGTTCAGTGTTCCCTGGAGCTGGAGGCGGAAAGGATTGTAAATGGACTTGAAATGGAACTGGTCTGAAACTGGGCTGTGGGGATGTTTGAGCAACTTCGTATTTTTCTATAAAAGTCACTGAAGCGTACACTTAACATGGGTGAATTTCATAGCATGTCAGTGACACCTCAATACAACTTTTAAACAAGGAGGAGAAGCAGACATCAGCGGGGATGAGTGGAGCTTCATGGAAATGCCCACTTCCACTGCAGCTGAGGTCAGATGGGGCGAGGGATGCTACCAAGGGCACTAGAGATGTCTGACAGAAGAGACCTTCAGACTTTATATTCAGCCTGCCACAAATGAGGACACTGAGGCTCAGATATGGGAGGTAACTTGCCCAAGGTCACCAGCACAGCCAATTCACTGAGGTCCCCAGGGGACAGTCCGGGCCAGGGCGAAGACCAGGTCTTCCTCCCTTTCCCCCAGGATGCAGACTCTGACTCATGCTTGCTGCCAGTGGTCCTTTATTTGGAAAATGCCAGTGCCAGGGCATGGAGTGGACGGGTGGGCATGGGAAGAGGTGTCCGTGTTGCTGAGCCCGGTGATCACGTGCGGGACTGGGCAGCCTCATCCAGGGAGCCCTCAGCGCTCTGAGAAATCACCTCCTGGATGTTAAGTGAGGGGGAGATGTGCCACCCAAAGAGGCAGAGTGCTCAGGCTGCGAGGTAAGGGGCTGGAGACGGAAGCCAGAACAAACCAGCAGAGGAGGAGACACCAGCCACCAGGGAAAAGTGCAGAGTAAAAGCGGGCTCTTGCCCTGTGCTCTACCCAGGTGGTATCGGCGCCATCTGTTTCTCCCCTGCCGCTCAGTGTGGCCTCACGTCATCCGATAGCGGGTACTAAACGAGAACCTGGCACTGCCAGGCCCTTCGCACGCTGGCTCTCACGGAGTCCTCCCAGCCCGGTGATGAGGTCAGGGAGGCTCAGCGAGGACAGAAAGGGATGAGCTGGGAATTGAACCAGGCACCACTGACTCCTGACACCCAAGCTTAGGTATGAGTGGAGAAGAAATCGACGAGGATGCTGAAAAGGTGAATGGTGTGGATAGGAAGAAGTCAAGGAACAAAACCCCAGCTAGCGGCTGTGCTCGGTGAGGGGACCGGCCGTAATGCCCGCCCCCACCCTTCCCCTGCCCAGGGCCAGTCAGGTCCAGGCCCCAGATGACCGCACCCAACTCCCCAGCCCCAGGCCAGGCCCCGCCCCGCCCCCGCTAGGAGCCCGGCCTAGACCCACCCTGGCAGGGGTGCACGGGCAGCTGTGATGACCGGCAGCACCAGGGGCTCGGTGTGGCTGCCTGCACAGCGCAGGCTCAGGATCCGCACAGGGTTCGCTGGGTCCAGGCGGTAGCTACAGCAGGTGCACTGGCTCTGCAGGTATGGCTCCTGGGCGAGACGGGGTGGCTGAGCTGGAGAGGGGCCCCACGGAGTTTGCCCCAACCACCTTCGTTCCCTGCCTTGGCCTTTCCATCCAACAGAGGCTGGGACCCAGGGAGGCCAGAGCCAGTGCCCCTCACCAAGAAGGGCAGCCTACAGGACGGATGTGTCGCCACTAAGCACACCCCCTCCACTCGCGGCCCCACCTGTCAGCACCCAACAGTTTAAAGGAATGTTTTTAACGTGCCCATCCCTGCTCCTGGCAGCAGCAGGGAAAGTCTAGTTGGAGGCAACGACTAATAATATGTGAAACCGCAGGTAACGAAGCGCAAGCTGCACAGTTCTGATCCCAAGTGCAAGTGAGCTCTCACTCCTCGCAGACGCCTCTTGCTCTGTGATTGATTATATAGTAACTCCATACAGGTCCCACGGAACGGCGGATCTAATTGTATAATTCTATTCCGGCTTTATTTTGGCATAGGTAATACAGTCACAATTTACCAGGTTTAAACACTACAAAAGATTTTTTTTTAACTTCAAAGGATTCAGTTTTAAAAAATCTCCTGCCTTGGCCGGTCTGGCTCAGCAGTTAGAGCATAGGGGTTGCGGGTTTGATTCCAGTCGAGGGCATGTTCCTGGGTTGCAGGTTCGATTCCCAGCCCCTCATCTGGGTCATGCAGGAGGCAACCAATCCATGTGTCTCTCTCTCACATTGATGTTTCTCTCTTTCTCTCTCTCTCCTTCTCTCCCTCCCTCCCTTTCACTTTCTCCCTCCCTTCCACTCCCTCTCTCCCTCCCTCCCTTCTGCTCTCTCTCAAAATCAAAGGGGAGACCTGGCCTGTTTGGCTCAGCGGTTAGAGCGTTGGCCTGCTGTCTGGAGAGACCCGGGTTCTCTTCCCACTAAGGGCATGTACCTTGGTTGCAGTTTGTCTCCGGCCCTGGTTGGGCCATGGGTGTAGCAGCCACTCGATGTGTTTCTTTCACGTCGATGTCTCTCTCTCTCTCTCTCTCTCTCTCTCTCTCTCTCTCTCTCTCTCCCCCTCCCTCCCTCTTTCTCCTTCCTCTATCTGAATAAAAAAATGTCCTCGGGTGAGGA